TTCCTTCTACTCTATCTTATTAAATAGTTATTTTACATAATTATAACAATAGTATTTTTTGTGGTTTTAACATAATTTTCTCTTTTAATAATTTTATCTTCTAAATTAATAGATTATCCCATAATTCGAGAAATATTATTATTCTTTAATTCTGACGGATTTAATATAACAATACTAATATCAACAAAAACGAATTTTGTTATCTTCTTCAGCAGATCTACAGTAAAAGCCTAGAGTTTGAGAAGATTTGTTAGATTGTTCTTCTAAAAGTACTTAATCAACTTATTAAAGAAAGCAATATCAATATCAACTAAATTGTTAAATAGCCCTTTGTAATACTTATAGGTTATTAGGCGATCTTTAAGTGATAATATAAAGATATAACCATAAATATCTTTGAGATTAATATTCTAAATACTTATTAATTTGATCTAGCACCCTGATGGTTTTGTGAAACTTGTACTCATCATAACCATATCTTGTTTTTCCAGTATCAAAGAGTATAAATATGGAAATGTGGAGGGAATAAATTACAAAAAGTATATATTATACAACGATAAGTCTATAAGGGAATAACCTAATCCTTTTAGCTTCCGAGTTACGGAGTATAAGTACAGGTAAACTACAAGGATCCAACAGTAACTAATCTTCTTAGTTCCTGAATGTGACCAAAAGGGTATAAACAGGACTCCGATTGTGTACTTAGAATCTACAAGTGAAGAGCTATGTAGGATGCTAAAAGGAGGACTATATATACAGGTATTGGGAGCCATAAGGGCTAGGCCCAAAAGGGTGAAAGGGTCCTAGGCGTAAGATGCCTAGGTCTAGAGCTATAGAGCTAGGGCTCTAAGCTGTGAAAGGAAGGTCCAAAAGAGCCGTCATATTATACTATGTATGTAGTATGAGCCAGTGGGCGGAAGAGAGCCGTCTGTTCCGTCACAGCTAATAATAGAATCGATATTTTCGTTGTTTTCCTTTATCTTATTATTAGGTTCTATACTTTTATATTATCTATATATTTTTATAGCAAATGATTCCTTAAATATAATAATTATGTCTTTGTAATATAGAAAAAAGGTTATATATTATTTGAATTTATTTGAATATTTCTAATATCAAAATTAGTTATAATATTATTATATAATAATCAAAAAAATCAAACCTCTCCGATTTCAGTTTAAACAATTAATTTAACAATAATTATATAATTCTCCTTATTCTAATCAAAACCAGATAGTTTCTTTATAAATCACTTAATTCTTTTAAAATCAATTTTTATATATTCCCATTTGGATTCGGTAATTCTATTATCTTTCTTATTAGGATCTTCAAAGAATTAAATAATAACAATCTAAACAAAAACTTTAAAACTATTATCAAAGATATTGCCATCTAATTTAATAGTTTTGAATTAAGTTATAAAGAAAACAATCTTCTTAAAGATCCATTTTGTATTAGGGGTATAAAAAATTCTAATAAAGATAGACATTGTTTTAATAATAGACTTAAATGATATAATTACAAAGTAATTATTGATATTGTAATATAGATTTGTAACTCAATCAAAAAGGATTTATAAATTATTATATAACATATACATAAAAAATGTTATATGAACTAAACAAAGGCTTATATTTTAAAAAAATAACATTTTTAGAAATAGGAATCTATATATATACTCTATTTTTGATAAATGCGAAAACTTACACTACCGAGCCAAACAAGGCCTTATAATATGAAAGGTTAGATAGATAATAATAAATTCTTAGCACTTTTTTTTTGCGAATATAGTGGAAAATTCTGATCCGGCTAGATACATTGTGTTTCATCATCCCTGGCATAGAATAATTTCCGGAGCCCCCCTTCTTAACCCAACATTAACAACTACAAATCTACGTATCTTGGTAGTTTTTGGTTTTTATCAACAAGAATCAGCCCTTTTGGTCCAAAATGTCAACCGACCCTAGATCTTCAAACTCGTTATTTCCCCTGGTTTCATACCCTCATCAGTACGAGCCGCCTCAAAGGAGAGATCCACCCAAAGAAATTCCGCTCATACCCGGCAATGATTCCCCGTCAACCGACTGGCTCCCCATATACGATACACGAACCCCCTACGTTGAGGCCGAAATTGTACATCTCATTCATGAAATTATCCGAAATTATGTTCGGCTGTCAACAGTTTCGGAGGATGAAGTGACTTGGCCTCCAGAGGGTGGTCATCACCTTGATGAGGCGCTTTGCAATGAGCTCAATATTTCTGACGCGGCAAAATCACTAATCCGGCTTTTACCTTCCGCTGGTAGCATTTCCCCAGTTTTTCTTTATCAATCCAGTCAACTTTTCAAAATTTTGGATGGTGGTTCTAGTCTGCGCATTAGTCGCGAGTCTCCATCGTATGATGAGGAAAAGGACCCCCTAGCCGAGCGCTATATATTACCGCATGATGTTCAGCTATCTGCTGGGGATCTGGAGACGCCTGTTATAATCCTTGACACAAGAGAAAGTAAGTATAATAATGTCCGAGACAAACTTATCGGCCTAACATGATGCTTGTAGATACGATCCGAGTAGTATCCACCATGGACGACGGTGCAGACGATTCGAACCCCCCTAATGCACCCCTCGAGCGACCTGATGACCCTTGGTACTATCGGAACTATTGGGCTAGGCATGCTCCAAGTTTCCTTCGTATGCAGTTGAATAGAATCAAGGCTTTAGATGTCATTCCACCGGGACCGAGTGCATTAAGCTATATTGACTTTTCAGACGAATGGATGGTGAGTAAGATTCCGTGTTGTAATGAATGATATGTAATATACGAGACTAACTATCTGCCTACTGCTCATGTAGCGATGTAAAATCAAGCATTCTCTAGAAGGTACATATGGTTGGCCCGATAATTTCAATCAAGAAGCATGGGATGAAGATCGTGATCGAATTTGGGAAGAAACTGAAGAAGAGTACGAACGTTTGGGTCAACCAAGTGTGTTGAGATTTTCGTAATCTACTCGGTGGGGTTTTGAAAGATGCATCATAAAATTGGTGAATATCTCCAAGGTACCCAAAATACCCATGGTACAATCGCCTGAACTTATCATTCAATTATTTAATTCTCTTGAATAAAAGTCTCATTGAAAAGCAAAAATCCTGAAAGTGCATCGAACTTGCGCGTATTTTTAAAAGCAAAGCTACGGATCTAAGATTATCTGCAAATTCCGTGATGTAACTTTATTTTCTCAGCATTTCTCCCATTTGTGAGCCTCCGAACTTTTCATGAGCAACAGATAGTTACAGTACAGCTTTCAAATACTTGGTTGGTATATTTGAATTGGCGGACTAAAAAAAGATGTTAGCATGCCACATACAAGCAAGTAGACGTTGAGGAGCTACAAACCCAATGCAAACAGTATGATTTTGTACCACGAAATCGTATGAAATAAAATAATTATAAGAATAAAAGTCCGCAAGGGTAAGATTCGTGTATTCTGAGGCAACGATTGACACTGGAACATTCGCATTGGCAAAATCTGTGGCCCCTGTGTTGACGACCAAGATGGGGCATGACATAGGTGCGCAGATGGTTCTATCGGTGAGGCCACTACAATCTAAGTCGTTGTTTAAGTTATAAAGACCTGCACTTGGAATCCCGAATTTCACGACGGCCTCCTGGCATGTGTATATTTCGCTGCTAGAAATAGATATATTTTGGGGGCAATCTGTTGTAACGGGAGGAGGGTCGGAAACAATGTCATCACTGAAATGTACTCGTTAGAATCATGGACGAGTTAGTGAATAGGAGCCAGAAACACGTACATGACTATGACTCCTGAGACATTGTGAGCTGGTGTTAACACCTCGTTGAGCTCACAATTTCGTTGCATGTTCGCCCAAACCTGCTCCGTGACTTCACTGTAGAAGATGTTTAGCTTCATTTCTTACCAATATGGTGATACTTACTCCCAGGTGTTGCCCCAAGCACTTTCATATCCGACTTTAAATTTCTGTCTTTTTCAATATTAGTTAATGGCAGGATCTATCCCGGAAGAACATACAGAAAGCAGGAGCTGCATTGAATTTCCAAAGGATATTCATCGAAATCCAGTGCGCTAACCCAACCGTAGTTATCATCATCTATCGGGTCAGCAGCATCGACATAATAATTCATTGCAGACATGTCATCACGCCCAGATGTGTGAAGACACTGTCAAGCTCTTCCCAATCAGGTTCTATGCATGTGCCATTTTCGTCTGTCAAATGTTCCCAGACGCCTTGGGACGAATCCAAATAGCACTTTTGTGGATTTACTGGCCATGTTGCAGCGCCATTAGCCACCATAGTCGTTATGTTCCAGCTAGAACAAGTCAATTTAGTCATGTCGACCTTCGGTGTGAATTTACCTATCCTCAACGTCCAAACAATAGTCATTAGTTGATGTATCTTTTAGACATATCAGACCCCACTTGTAGTCAATCAAATCAACCAAATCATGCAGCGACATGCTATTGCCGTCAATGAAAAAGGTATCATCAGGACAAGCAGTTTGAGAAACAAAATGTAACGCCGCCAATCCCGTCTGGGAAGCTGTTGTGCAGAGTGAATCCAAAGATGATGTAGTCCATTCTAGAACACTAATATTAGATGCTGAGACTTCTGCTTGGTTTAGAATAACAAACTTGTGCTTTGAATCGAGTATGAAGTCAACTGAATCAAGCTCTCGCAATTGAGCTCGGTGTTTAACGTCGTATCACACGCGTCACTGATGTCTGCAGAAAGTACAGTCTTATGCAGACCATTGTACAGTGAAGCCGTCTGTATGATTCCGAAACCATGGAATGATACCAAGAGTGTCAAGAACAGCATTTTGAATGATGACACTATATTGAGCGTTCGATGTCTGTAACTTAGATATTGGAGAGACTGGACTCAAGACACTGTTCTCTGCTTTTGAGGAAAATACAAGGCAAACATTTTGATCTCTAATAGTGGAGTCAAGCCCCTCATCCATCGGGGCACCTCAGCCATAGTTTTTCCTCACGCAACAGCCCATTTGCTTGCTGCAAACTCAACCAAGGCAGATACATACCCCCCAATGAATGTCGTAACGACCTTTGCCAGAGATGCCACCTGCATAATTGCACTCAGGTGCCATTTGAGATTTGTGACAGGTGGTTCCCAGTTGTCCACGTCGTTGATGTTGTGGTACAACCATTGAGGACAATTTAAAACTTTCACTCGCGGCCATCTATTGTCATCAGCCTTCTTGTTAGCATATCTCTGTTCTTTCCGAGCTTTGATCAGCTCGTCGAGATACAGAGTTATGCTCTTCAAGGAATGCTCGCAGCTTTCTAACTGATGACGCGACATTGGAATGGGAAGACTACTACGTCTGTAGTCGATGAGATCGAGGGTAAAAGTAAAAGGTAGTGCTTCTGACTGGGTCCAGAGAGTGATCTCTGTAATATCTTCAGTCATCCAGTCTATTCTTCTGGGAGTGATCACCTGATGAGTTTGGTAGTCACCCCAGCGATCTGTCTCTCCAAGATAGGCCTGGTGACAAGAGTAGTCACTCAAAGCAATCTTTTCAACCTTTTGGTCTCGCATCTTATCCACGAAAACCCGTTGATGCTCCGCCTTCCACATGGGCATCGGACAGATTGTGTCGCATGCTGGACGAAAGAATATTTGGCCCGCTGCATCGGATACATGCGCGAGGTCAGGGAACTGCTCTTCAACACCGAAGGCTAGTTCGTGGTGCCTCATCACGGCTTTACGGGCATCGTAGCACGCGTGCATTATCGGAGGGAACGGGTTCACACTTCTAAAAGCATATAAGTGGATGTCTGGGCGATTGGGGTCGCTCGTATCCTCAGCTGGTATTGTTTTCTGAGTTGTACGAACAGGAATCAAGCGTCCGTGACCTGATGCAAAACCCCAAATCATTTGTTGGACTTCGACGGGGAGCTTTCTAAAAATTCTCGAATGTGATTGCGGGAGACCTTGCGGCAATGATGGCCTGTTCTTTAGTATCGAAAGAATTTGAGTTGGGCATTTTGGATTTGTTTCTTGTGGAAAGATTTTGGGAGTTTTATATTGTCGCGCGGCCGATGTTGATTATCAAAAGTCGCAGAAATTCAGTTGAGGAAGAGAACTAATCAAGACCACTAGTCAGCACAACTATCTCAAGGCTTGGTAATCTATTTCGATATCGATTTGAAAGACGTTTTTGAATATTGATTTAAGAATTTTAAAGGGAATTAGATGAGGAAATACACACAAGTAAGAGTCTTGAGCACGGGTTTCGTAAGAGAAAGGTTTTGCGGACTCCAACTTGTTTTGATTGATATTTTTGTTATTGTGAGGATACAGAAGATGTTGGGAGTTTCGTAAAGGTTTTACTTTGTGATACACTTGAAAATTGGAAGTTGTGGATGAGGAAATGATGGGAAGTGTTTTCGTGATATGGTGTTTGTACTCTTTTAAACATCACGCATCCAGCGCGACTTGCGATCATCGTGACAAGCGAAGCACAGTCCTGGAACTTGACCAATCGCCTACCAGATACGAGGTGATTTGGAAGATATAGTGGCCCAATTAGGCATATATTAAACCTATATACAGCAAGTTGCCTAATTCGGACAGTCAAAATCTTGTTACGGTACTTAGCCGCTAATTTGGTACGAATGCTGGCAGATAGCATCCAAATAGTACAGCAGAAACTACTTAATTATGAGTCCAGGAGAATATCGTACCTTTATAGAGTCATCATGAGTTCTGCTGTAATGTATGCAGGTATAGTTCACTGATATGCGCCTGCATCACAAATTGAAATTGTCACGGGTTAAATAATGAAGGGTCAAAATCTGTAACGAACTACTTGAATTTTTATTCACCAGAAAGTTTCTAAACTAGCTCTCGGTATTGCTATGTACAATGATATGAAAAGAAAGACACTAAAATGCGTATGATAACTTGATATCCCCGCAAACCAAAAATGACTCCATGTTCTACCTTCTGAGCCAAAAATAGGTTGTATCTTTTGACTGCGCATATTATGTTACTCATGCCATACTCCATTTATCAGGCCATTGTAAGTCCCTATAGAAGTGAGGTAGATTTCTTGCCAGAGTCTTGAGTAGAGAGTAGAGCCGAGCCGCAAGTTACAGAGCATATCATCACAATAAGTCTTGAAAGAAGCCATCGCCTATGCACCACCCGCATATACATTATTCAAACCCTCGATGTGCCAAATAAGTCATCAGTGGACATGTAGCCAGGATGGTACCCACTCTCTAGATCTATATAGCAGACAGAGCCATGAGCTGAGGTTGATGCCAGGTATTTTGATGCTCGTACAGCCAACCAGGCATGAAGTGCAACTGCTCTTTTTCTTCTCCCGATATCTCTCTCAGCCTGTCAGATTCCTCTTGAATTTCACGATAGAGTTGTAGATCCGAAATCATCTGATGCAGTCGTGCAAACGTTCTATCAGCCGACATGGCAGTCACCGTGAGTTCCTCCGGCCATTGCTCGGGAAACATTTCGGTACATTCGACTAGTTTGAGAGGTTGACGACGAATATTGAACTTCTTTAACGAAGTGTAAGAAGATCTCGCGTAGGCTCTGGTTCATCCACCTGGGAAAATTGTCAAAGTTATTCCAATCATCCAGATCGCCCACATTCTTGTAGTCTAAGGAAACGAAGTTATCAAGAGCTAATCGTTCAACCCTATTCGCAATTATGATGTTGCAGAATTTCGAGAATTGAGTTGGGGTCCATAGGGCGCTACCATTACGGACTGGACACACGATATCGAGACTCGGCTTGATCCATATACTAGGGTATAAACCCGGAGAACTTGAGGTTGGCGTGTAGATATCTAGCTTCTGCGATTCCTGTCGAGCTTCGTGGCAGACTTGCATGATTGCAGGAGTCTCTGATGCGAACCGATATTTAATTGCATTAGGCTTGCGATCAACAATGATGGGCCAGATAGTGACTACTCTTGGTTCTAGACATGCGAATTTATATATCTTGATTCGGAGTTCCACCGGAAGGTCGTTGAAGTAAGAAAACTTATCTAGATGACTCTCCTTCCCTGTACCTCCGAGGTTTAATGTCGAAGGTATGATGTGGTAGTTTGGGAGGTCCCTAAGAAATCTCGGACCTTGCTTACTGAGGGATAATGAGGCAGCGAGTAGATGAGGGAATTCTCTGTGTTGTTGATCTCGAAGTGCTGTGTTAACTGGAGCACGAAGAGAGGAGCTGGCGTGGCTTCTGTTGTGTCTTCTGGCAGTTGAACCAAGATTTACTAATGCGTAAGACATTTTTTGGACTGACGTTGATATCGATTTCCGTAAATGTATGAAATGGGGACGAATTGAGTTGTAATTGAGAAGAAACTTGTGAAAGTGTTTGTGTATTACTTTGTAAAGTTGATCAGAGTCTCAGTCAAGCTTAATGGTGATAGAATCGGAATTTAGGATTCATCTAGGAAGAAAGTCTATAAGGAGGCATTTTCTAATACAGCTACACTTCACCGCGAATTACAAACATATCGACTGTATCTAAGCTATTGCAATATATACGGCTCACTATATATAAACAACTCTGCCGTACTCATGTATTCCAATCAGAACTATTCTAAGAATCCAATACAGTCTTTGGGTCAGCAAGGCTACGCCAAACCCAAGGATTTTATATGCAAACGCTATACCAAATTCAACACTTTGAAAATTCTGAAAATCCTTCAAACTTTTGAGCATTTTGTAAAGATTCATCGATTACTGGCCTTAAAAATGTTGTAACTGCACGCTGGCAGGTATCTAAAATGCAAGATTTTTCCAATATCACAATTCGCAAAGCTAGATTCAAGAACAATAACTCAAAGAACACAATATTGAGAAAACTAATTAAGATACCAAATCCTTGATGGAGCCTTCTCAACATCGTCATTGTGCTCAATCTTGGCCATAGTTAACAAACGTAGAATAATCTATCAGCAAAATTCCCATAACGATACTATGAATACCAAAAACCTCTGTTACCTAGGTTTTATATTGTAGTTCTTTGGGGAGGGAAAAAAACCACACTCGCTTAATCTTTCTGCACTCAAATGGGGCCATAAAATGCATTTTCTGCGCGTGCCACAGATCAACCATATCGTGGATTGAACTAGTTTTGGATGACAGCAGCAATGCAGTTTGATTTGACGACTATTGCAGAGCGATCATGGAATACATCGCAGGCCTACAATATATCCACACGATCTTTTAGCCACTTCGGAATTCCCCTCAGATCCCGCCTATTCTTCATTTTTCCCTTCGTCGCAGCATTACGATTGACCAATTGTTGTAGTTTCTAGTATGAATCGAAAGAACCCAGCATCAAACTCAATTGAAATACTTTTTCGTCTCTGTTCGTCCTCTGAAGCTCTAAAAACGTCTCGGGATGACTTGTCTCTTTCGTATAGTTGACGAGGTTCAACGGATGTGTCAAGTCGACGATGTTGTCATTGAGAGTAGTGTATTGAATAGTGTTTTTGACGTGTGGTCCCACCCATTCCGGGACACCCTCAAATTTCCTCCAGCTATCACGACCCCATATGGTGTAACGAGGTGATGTTACATCGTCAATGGCTATATTTGCAATTTTGTAGTAATTCAAAATTGGACAAAAATCGGCAAAGGTCTTCCCTTCCGCGTGGGACAGATAAGATCAGTGGCTTTATTAACTCATATTCTTCCTGGAGAGTAGATTGTGGCTAGAGGAAAATCGTATCTGACATGGAAGATTCTTTTGTAGACTTTCATAGCGGCAAGTCGAGATTCCCAGCAGACTTGCATAATGGCCAGAGCAGGCGAATCAGTAGCAAAACGATATGCCATGCGGTTTCGTATGTCGCCTGTCATGGCTCGTTTCAGAGTGTCTTTGTCGGTGACCCAAACAGGCACGGTTCGGGAATGGTAGCATGCAAAATCCCATATCATTAGCTGTATTTCGGGCGGCAATTTGGCAAATTGATGAAAATCGACTTCATCGCGCTCTTCATGTTCCGTCACAGCTGTTTTAAATGAGTCAGCCGCTAGATTATCGTCTGGATCGCCTATGTTGTTCTCTCTGTAGCAGAATCTTCTTCTGGGTCGAATTTCCGAGTCATGATCGTCTAGGTCTCATATAGTTGTAGCCGTGGATGTCGAGGTAACGGATGCGTCATCGTCGAAGTCTTCATGATGACAGGAAGATGGACCATTTTCGATAAAAGGACGGATCGGAAAGTTAGTTCCCGTTGGTCGTCGGCTGTAACTCATTTGGACTGATTGTTGAGAGAGTCGCAAAACGTCTGATTTACGAGAAACAGGAATAGAGAAGTCACAAATGACTGTAGACGTTTGTCGCACGAGTACAGTATGATTGACTTGGTTGTATAATTATCATCGAGACAGACTTTGCAGACAACATCTTAGGTTAGAGTTGATTTTCAAGGATGTCGAAAATCTAGAGAACCAGAACTGCCAGGGTGGTAGCCGCGTATAAAGATTGAGTTCTATCTAGCACGGCGGCAAACACTAGTAGTCGCACTACAGCACCCTCCAAGTAACTACTCTGAACAATTACTATACAAAGCCATCTCACCTTCTACCTCAACTATCAGAGACTTGTTCATAGAATTTGGCTTAGTGAATTTACGATGAAGACATTGAGATGTGCGCGACTAGCGCTACTCTCGTCATCTTAACTAGACACTGTTTAGAAAAAGATTTTGCCCTCACTTGATGACTGTTTGGTTGTTTACGGTTCATTTTTATTCACAAATGAATCCATCCATAACGGAGACACTTCAGTTCGGGCAAAAGATCTTGGAAGGTACCTGTGCACTCCCACTCGAAATCCTAATTAGATGATTTAGTTTCTCATTTGGTCATGGAAGCACTTTCAAGCATGACTATTTGCGTGTTGCGTGATATCTCCATGCTGATGGTAGATGTCGCCCCTTATACCATTGATGTTCCCGCGAGATGCTTTCTCTTCAGATTATAGATACGTATAACCTGTAAACTGATCTTTAACATAGACGTGGTTTATAACTGCGAGCTGAAGGTGGCGAGTATGCCCCCTGACCTCCAGATTGTAGTCTATTGATCGGGATAGCACGGCATGTATGTGAGAAACCCTAAAGTTTGACTTCCCGGCACTCGAATTCACAGCATCTTATTAAACCCACAACCCCAGTTCCAGACTAAATCGCCAACCGCGCGCTGCAAACCTTTTCAAACTGCAGTTGGATCTCGCGGAACTTGGCAACTAACTTGCTGCCTTTAGAAGTTCTGATGAGTAAACGTCTTCAGATCTATTTGCCGCCCCATAAACTTAAAACAGGCTCTCGTAGCAGACCTATCTAGTTTCCACAGAACTGCCAACAATACAAGCAGCTACTTCAAAAGGCTCAAGTGTGCTGTGGCTTGCATGATGAATATGGCAGTGAACTACCGCCATCATGTATAACCATCCATAGCTCCAAGGCTCTCTCAAATTTTGGCCAGACGACTGAAGTCTCGAGTAGAAAATAGTCGGCCTTGAGTTAAAACATTTATCAAGGTCTCGATCAGATTAATCTGCACTTAATCTGCCTCCAAGCTCCGGTTTAGAGATTAGAAAAGTACTTTCAATCCCACAACTTTCCCTTCATGGCAGGTCGAGAGCTGAAATAAGTCCGTGAATCTTTTGGCCTTCGTTAGTCTCTTGCCATGATTGATAGTGCGGGCGTGAATAACTTATGTTATATTTGTCCTATTCATACTGCGTCTTTATCCAGGTGCTCTCTGCCCATCGAGAACCAAGATACATCCCTGATGATTCTATTATTCGTAATATATCGTTCCTAGTCAAAATTTAATGATCAATCATGAAAAGTCCACAGCCTTCTAGCAAAAAAGGCGCCCTGTAATGTTTAGTATCTCCGCTTTATTAGAATTTCTGACCATTTTTCTCGAGATATGTTGACCCGAGTCAATATCCACAATCCATTCAGACAAGTAGATGTATCAATGAACACATTCAATCATCTGAGCTTATGATGGCCCCTCTCACAGTATACTGTGTATGTCAACATCTGAAATGTACCTCTTACGAAAAAAAAAAGAGCTGATGGACGACAGTCCGACCGACCACTGAGCTGAGCCTCTATACCCTAATTCATCTTTCACTTTAATTTCCACCCAGCCCAGCTTAGCCCAGTCATTGTATGACTTCTTCCTATCTATTTCGATTCCCCACAAGGTTGTTGAGCGGAGTACGCGTAAGATAAACCTAGCCTCCGAGATAAGGGCAGGAAATAGTTGCTATGGGGAAATTTGGTGTTGATGGAAATGGGTGACCGTTGTGTGTGTTATTTTTCCTCTTTCCTCTTTGCTGGAGTTTTATATAATGTCTCCTTCCCTCCTCCTCTCCTTCCCTCCTTCCATCCTTCCTTCCTTTCCATCTTCGCTTCTCCTTAACACCCAGCCCTGCCAGTCATAGATAGATTAGTAGCACAAACTTCCTTCAAAATTTCCATCTCAAGCGAGCTCCTCCCGAGTCCCAACAGTAACATCCCACGACCTACTACTATTCACCATCATATTCAACACTCTATTCTTCATAAACTCCCGACGTAATTGCGTCTTTTCCAACGCTGTTCAGGATTGTGGTGAATACAGATGAGTTTGGACTAAATTTGTATTGTGAGGTGGCGGCGGGGTAGAAAATCAGATGTTCTCGAGCTAGATATGATCAATGAGCATGATTATGAGTGAAAATCTATGTAGATAGAGAAACATGGAAGGGTATCTTCAAGACTCAATTAGGAAGAGAAAAGAAAAAATGTAAATATAGAAAACGGTTACCATAAAAAGAGAATATGAACTTAATATTTTCCAGCTTCCAACCACTAAATTGTATAAAAGTTGAGACAAACCATCGGTTGTTTCTTGACATCCCTAGCCAGGCCAGGACTATGGAGAAAGTATTATAGTTCAAGAAAGATAATCCGCCCGAAACTAAACGCTTTTGAGAATAGTTCCAAGTCTCCCGCTGATTGAATCTCCTACCATGATAGTATCCTTTCAAGCTCTATGCTGCATCCCATCATTAGCCTTTTATCTTAGAAAACAAAAAAACGTCCATGCAACGATCATTCCACTCGTGCATTCCGGTCTTGTACTATTCGATCATCGATTCATCGGGGAAAGATGGTATTCCCGGGTCATCTACTCATACGCAGCTCTCAAGATGTCAGACCTCAACCTCATCTCCAATTACATCTTTCCATCTTGCATATACTAGCATTCGTCCCGACCACACTTTGGCCTTGTCCAAATATCGCCCCTTATTTAGCGACGTGCCCACTTCTTCCGAAATTTGTCTGACTATCTCATCCATGCTTGTTTAGTATTGGTCGTCCCCTCTCTCATCACGGAATTATTCTTCTGATAATAAATTAGCTCCCCCCCCCTCTCCCTCTAATCCCTTGGAATTCAAAAACTAAATTCTTTGATTATAATCTATCATAGAATAGAAAAGGACAAATAAACCATAATCTCTTCAATCTAGCCCTAGTTCTTTCTCCGGTATAGTTCTTGTTTATTCTAGCATCAACAGGTACAATTTGCGTTCCTATTGCATTTGGACCCTCGCCTGGACTCGCTGTGCTATAGGCTGCACGATCTCATCCCAAAGGAATGATTTTGTTTCTACTCCAATTGATATAAATTCCCAATTCATTGGTGATCGAGATACCATGAGGTGATTAAATATCAAATTCAAAGACCAATTGATAGAATGTAAAACCAATAACACAAGATTCCCAAGATATGTATAAAATTTACAATACAGCATTCAAAGTTACCCAACGAAACACAAAACAACCAATACCATCTTCATCGAGTTATCGAGGTATCTGATATCAAAATCATATACTTGAGTAGACGACTACCAATAAATTTCCAAATATATCTGTGATACTGTAAGATTTCAGGAGGTAAGCGAGAGAATCCCTATTCCCGATTCCCGATTCCCTCAGATGTAATCTTACAGTATTGACTAGAAGTACTATCCACATTGCGATTTCAGAAATTGCCATTGCCAATATAGTAATAATTGCCTAAAATGGGAGAAACAGGATCTAGAAAACCATGTGTTTGATTCATGATGAAACCTTAGGAGTAGTGAAGCGCAATCAATTGCGTTGTCCTGGGTTATAATCTTATTTATATAACGAGCCTTCTTACTGATACAGAGATTGTCCGTTGAGTTAAATGCAATAGTAGTGCTCAGAACAAATTTTTCTTTTTTGAGAGGGAGAGAATGAGGATTTTATACTCCTTTATGCGAGGTATAATAATTTGAGATTGCGTTTTGATATCATATCCCGCAAACAAGGTCAAACAAAGAAGGAATGCGAAGATGTCTCTTGTGATTAATAAAGTGTCGTCCATGCATTCTTTAGTCCTATATTTATTGAGAGACCGATTCAACCAACGTTTCGAAATTTGAAGTTTAAAGTTTGAACAACCGATATTTAGATGTTCGTATAGAAGAGCGTGAAATTATATCACATCATAATCGATTTTTGATAAGAATACAAAATGAGCATCAGCATAATGGAGCGACGTAGGTAATTATATGTAGTCATATAAGTACATACTTGAGGGCCTACTTTTCCCTTTTTCAAACAAAGCACTATAGAAATCCTGAGTTTGGTTTTCCTTTCCACTTCCTCTCCACTTCCTTCTTCTATAATACAAACAATCAATCTAACAGCTACAGTATCAGCGATTCCACAACTCTTGTGTTGTGTTTCTAATGGAAAACTACTGGAGCAAGAGCACCTGAGAAACTAAGATTGATTACATTGATGTTGTGATTAGTTGGGGAATTTTGGAATCCTCAGCTGATAGTAGATGGCAGATGGGTTGAAAATACACAAGATACATTTATCTCAATGATAAATCCGTTTCCTCTAGAGATCCAATGAATGACCTATAGCAATCAAAAGTTTCATTTTATCTTATCTTATATCCATCTGTTGTTAAGAAACAATCACGATCTGTGATATCCTCTTCTCCTCTTCTCCTTACATTCATATCAGCACAAACTACTAGTAATGTATGCAGGCACTCGTAGATAGGTAGATAGGTAGGTATCTTACATATAAATGTAAATATAAACCATACAAACCAACTGACCATGAATGACATTTGTGTATTATTATTATTATTATTATTCTTATTATTTATGAATATATCACTTCGGTTTCAAAGCTACTGTTATGCGTATGATGGATCTATGTATATGATTGATATAGCACGAAATCATATCTACTATATCGTGGGTATACGATATGGATGTATATCAGTAATTACAAGAATTTCTATACATTTCACCTCACTCTCACACCTCACTTACATACCTTACCCATTCTATTCCTATTCCAATTCTCACACCCTTGCCATCGCCTTTTTTGCCCCTTACTCTTACTCTTACCCATCACCCTCACTCCTCACCCTTACTCTCACCCATCACCCCATCTCAATCCCTACCCATCCCTCTAAAATCCACCCACCCACCTTCCCCTAAAGTTCTCGCCTAACACCCATTGATTCCACCCCATTCCATCCCCTCCCATTCCATCACACCCTTCTATTTTCTTTTATTTCATTAGTATATAAAGATTCTCATCTTGCCAACTAATACCTATTCCTACCCCTTTACTCTTCATTTCCCTTTTTACTTTCCACTTTCCACTTTTCACTTTCCTATCTATCCCCTCCCCTCCCTTCTTGTCCACGCTCCACACTCACCACACCACACCACACCACACCACATCACACCCCCGTACATCCATACATCCCCACCTCGCCTCACCTCACCCAAATACAACATTCAACTTTCGATATCCAACCCAAACCCAAACCCAAACCCAATAACCAACCGATATCCAACACAATACCAATATAATTTCATTTTCATATTTGTTTTCATTTCTCAAACTCTAATATATACTACTCGAGCATATCTATTCCTACCCTTCTGAGTCTTCTTTTATAGAGTATATACATCCATTTCCAAAGAAGAATATAACAAATATAGTATAAACTTCCTTTCCCAACGCCATCTATATCCATATCCATATCCATATCCATAACGATATAATACAATGCAATGCCATACGACGTAATGCACTATAATGCAATGCAACGCTAAATGCCAATGCACGCCAATCTTCCGACTCTGCGTCCTTGAGTCAAGAACTCCCATTCCATCATATCCTATCCTATCCCAACCTATGCTACCCCAGAGCATCCTATCCCAAAGCATCCAATCCCATGTACACACACACATATACACATATATATACTCATCAACAAATAAAACCACATCAAATCCACCTTCCTCCATCCTTCCTTCCATCCTTCCCACCCCAATTCAATCCACCCTCTCAAACACTCACCCCCACCCCCACCCCCGGCACCCTCCCATCCCCCCAAGCCGCCCTCAACGTCTTCCCCCCCTTAACCATATTTGCGATTTCCCTCCCTACCCTCTCTTTCGCCTTACTCCCCATCCCAAAGGCATCCCAGAAAAGATATTCATCCGGCGCTTCACAGACTAGCATGCCATGAATATCCTTTTCATTCCCCCTTCTATTCCCACCCCCGCTCCCACTCCCTTCTCTTACACAAGGATCATATACCGAGATATACGGAGATTCCTTGGTACCCAGACCCGATGCATCGGATAATCCTTCATCTTCTAATTGATGTTCCAATATAATTTCGGTCAGGAATCTATTGAGATCATAATAATAGATATCTTTTTGCGGAGGAGGGATTTCCTGTTGAATTTGCGCCTTTTCTCCTGATTCTTCTCGCGGGGTTTGAGATTTATTTTCTTGATCATTTTGTTCAAATATTTCCGTGATTGCTTCATTTTCTTTTTCATCCTCAGATGATATTGTGTCTGGAGAAAGTTCCGTCCATTCATTCGTCGTGGTAGCTTCTGGTGTACTAGCAAACCAAGGTTGAATACTATTTTCCACCTTATTATCCCAATCCCTCAATAAATAAATGGCATTCTTCTGATTTTCCGCCACGCTATCCGGTTTCAAAGGAACCGGTCTCTGACTTAACCATCCGGGTAACATTGTAGGATCGAAAAGTTTCGGGATGACCACCCTAAATTGTGGTTTGGGCACCACATGAGATTCATTGTGTGGTTTCTCAATCACATGTGTAGCTTCGAGTGTTTCCCTATGATGCGCATATAAAGTATCGAGTTGGGCGAACATTTCCTTGACGGCCTTGTTTTGCGCATCTTGAGCTTGTGCATAATCGAGAGCGGCGTAATGCCATACGTCCCATGTTCCGAATGAGAGGACAAATATGGTTTCCTTGAGTTTCTTTTTGTATCGGGGGAGGGCGATGAAGGATTTGACTTGGGCTTCGAGATCAGGGAGCATGGCTTCGGAGGTTAACTTCGTCTCGGGGTTGTTTTGCCCAATGGTATTTTTGATCGAGGAAAGGTATATTTTATTGGATGCGAAGGCTCCTGTGGGTGGAGATGATGGATATGAAGCTGCTGGTTGTGAAGCGGCCAAATTAATCTGCGAAGTACATGCTAACTATAAAAACAATTAATTAGTAAATGTGCCAATCTTTCAACTGTGATCCAACCATAAAACCAAACCAAACATACCTCTTCACAAAGAACCTCTGTCCAACTTCTCCCCTTTCCATCCCCATTCTTCTCAATCCTATCATCAACCCAACTATCCCCAAAAACCACCAATCTCACTCCTTCATCCCCCTCTCCATCATCATCTCCACTCGCCCAATCCCATAATCCAACCGTAACATCATTTATACTCGTCCCTCCTATCTCAATCTTCCTCAAATGTTCGGTATATTGCGAATGTGGCAGCAGTGCCAAGATAGTCATTAACGACAACACCATCGCGAATACCGAAGCGCCTAATCTCGTAAAAGCACGCATAATCGAGACGGACTATCTCTCCTTTCCTTCCTTCCTTCCTTCCTTTTTTCCTCCCTTCCTCCCTTCCTCCCTATCAAACACACCCGCCAAAAAAAGAAAGAAAAAGAAAAGAAACACAAAGTTTTGTAATTTTTCCAATTCTGATAAAAATCCAGCCTTATTCCGGATTATGATGGCTGCCAAGAAATATGGGCGTGGAGGCGTCGGAACCTATCTCGCGAAGTATTTTTGATGTGTATGCCAAGAGCGGAGGTATGAGCTGTTTCAATCTGTACCTGCCTTTACTTCTCTTCAATCAAACCAAAGCAAAGCAAATTCCAATTCTCAAATCGAAGTTATGAATCCAGTAAACAAAAAATGAGTGAAGAATATCAATATTGTATCGTATATGTCGCAAAACAAAAGAGTACAGTGTACAGATAAATACTGTATATAATCAAACAAACCCCAAGCAAACTTCAAGAATCAAAAGTAGAAAAGATGTTCAAATACCTACAATTCTTCTCACTCTCACTCATCTCACTCTCACTCTCACTCCTCACTCACCATCCATACCATATTCATATCGTTCGTACACACAACATACGTACATCCCCCATCACAATACCCGCTCCCTACAACATTCCCTGCAATCTCCCCCATACAACTGTATATGATACCATACAAATGGTATACAATGGCATACATACGGAGGGGGGACATAGCCTCGAATCCTTGAATCCATCAAAACAATCTAGAAGCGCAGAACACGCAAGAGGGACTCGTCAGCCCATTTCCTGATTGTGGAGTTACTTGGTTCCTGTTCCCTGCGCATTGATTATTAGTTGCTTATTTTTGTATGGATGGATGGGATAAGGGTGGAAAAGTTGGAGAGAAGGATGAGGAAGGGTGAGAGGGGATTTTAATGAAAGTCAGGCAATCAATCAGGCTAGACTAACCTGTGTTACTTATGAAAATTGTGAAAGTTATGAAATCTTAACTTAGTAACACCTATTAATCTAATTCAAGTACCATAAAAATTCTATTATCCGTCTATACATATCCATTTATTAGCTTCACTCCCACTTCTGCTCTTTCTCTCCTAACCCACATCATCACAAACTTACAGCCTCCTCACAGCCTTACACATATATATATATCCTATCCCATCCCATTCTACCCCATTCTATCCCATCCACCCCATATCTCTTTTCCTCATCCTATCCAGGACCTACCCCATCCCATTCCCTATTCTATTCCCTCCTATCCCATCCCATCCCATCCCATCCCACCTCATCCATCTATCCTATCCTATCCTATCTACCCCATCCATCCACTTCCTCCTCCATTTCATCATCATCCCTTCTCCATTTCATCATCCCTTCATCCCCAAATCCCAAAACCCCCCAATCCCAAAACCCCCCAATCCCCAGACCCCAACCCCAACCCCACCCAATCCATCACTTCATCCATCCAAACCCCTAAATAAAACCCCCAAAAACAAGCATAGCCTAGCCTAGTCTCGTTTCGTTTCATTTCATTTCCTTGTCAGTATCTATACATATACAGTACAGTAGATCTAGATATACTCAAGTACTCAAGTATTAACTACTTACTATAGACCTCACTTCTCACTTATCAGATCAGTTTAGAGCCTCCGGGGGTTTATATTACATAGATCAGATTAAGCTCAGGTTAGCTCAGATCCGAGTTTAGTACTATACTCAAGTTACTTAAAGTTCATTTATATTATATCAGAAACACTAATGAATAAATAAAACCTATTACTATATAATTACTCGATTACTTGAGTAGTTACTCAAGTAATATTATCATTTTCTTCATCAACTTCTAAACACTCTCATCCATCACTTCCATCCATCACTACCAATACCCATCTACCTATCTATAATATACTCAACTACTCAACTACTCAACTATCCCATCCCATATCCCATCCCATCCCATCTCATATCCCATATCCCATTAATTAACCAATCAACTAAGAAAAATACTCCGAGTCGAGTATATAACACCACGTATAGATATAATATAATATAATATAATTCAATTCATTCAACAATTATTAATTATCTTACTTATTTATTTTATCCAAGATAGATTGATTTCTTGATTTCTACTAAAAACTTAGTCTTAGTCTTAGATACTACTACTACTAGTATACTGAAGACCCAACTATACTGGAGACCCAATCATACTAGAGATAGACTATGCAGCAGCAGCAGCAGCAGCTGAAATTTCCTTGTTTTGTTATTTTTACGAGTACTCGAGTATTAATATCATATTCATATCATATCAAATTGGCATTCCAGCCTCCAGCTTCTTAGATCTAGCCCAAGCCCAAGCTCGAGTTCAATGTTCAATGTTCAATATTCAATATTCTTTCCATAGATATCTATACTCGAATACATATATACAGTAAAACAAACACATATACATATAGTATACAAACATTCAACATGTTTGTTTGCTTGCCAGTTTGCATACAACAACAATAACAAAAAAAATGAAAATGTCTCCCGAGAAAACCATCCTTTTTTTTTTAGAGATCCCCTACACTACACCAGGACGAAAAGAAAAAAAGGTAAAGCAAAATAACTCCAGACCATGCAATGCAAACGCCCAAGATGCATCTTAGTGGTCAACTCTCTTGATATTACTCATCCATCAAATAGAATAGATTTCATCTTCTATTTTGGAATGTACTGCCTGTTAACTTTTGCATCTTGGATCTCGGGGGTCCTTGTACCGCATCATCGCTTTCATCATCCTCTCCTTGCTCATCAATATCATCGTGATCAACTTCATCCTCATCTCCAGAATCCGCATCAGTCTCTTCCGCCTCATCGTCTATTAAATCATCCTCGCTATCCTCTTCCTCTTCATCCGATTCTGCGACTAAACCGTTGAGCATTTCCTCCTCGATCTCAGAATCCGAGATGTCTTCGAGATTTCCATTCTTGGCGAGTCTTTGAGGTAATCCATTGACGATGACTTCTTCATCATCACTTTGACCTTCCACATAGATGACACCCTCATCATTATCTTCGCTATCCAATCTTGGTCGATTTTGCATGCCTCTTCGTAATTCGATTTGTGCGTCCAACATATCTAATTTACCCTTCAAAGACAAAAGATGTTGTAAAGATTTGGATCTCTCATCGAGAACTCGGTTAACTTCGGCCAACTTCTTGATGAGACCTCGTTGAGTGGCTAGATATCCACCATGTGTAATCATTGACCATTGAACCCAGACCATTAGGCTACCAGCTCTACCCGGTCTTCGATGTAATCTTTCTGCCAACTTTTGTAATAGGATTGCGGCGAGAGGAGAATCGAGTCGTTGAATGGTGGCTCTAATAGTTCCGAGATCCGTGGTGTGTAAACAAGATTCCAGTAAGGCGACATCGTTGGTCTTGAGTGCTTGAGTAAGAACTGTTCCGAGAGATGCACCAGAAGGAGCTTGGATTGAATTTTGAGGATATGAGAGGGCTTGAGCCTTGGAATCATCGAAAGCGGCGGCAACGTCGATGGGCTCTGAGGCATGAGCTCGAATAAGATCCCCGAATGTTGGTTCCACATCTTCCTCGGCAGCTTCAACTGCATCATCTCCCATTGTCACATCTGCGGCGTCATTGCTATCATCTTCCACATCACTTCCGTCTTCCTCAATTTCTTCAGCATCATCGTCACTCCCATTTTCCGAATCGCTAGATATTTCGACCACGTCACTCTTGTTATTTCCATTCGTCTTCGACTTAGTCGCAATTCCACCCCCAGATACAATCGTCTTCGAATCATCCAAATGTGCAGTTCCAAATGACTTAGCACCTTGCTTGACCATTGGTTGGCCAAGCTTGGTAGGGAGCTTCTTCCTGGTTGACATTGCAATTGATTGTTGGTTATGCGATAGTTATGCGATATAAATAAGAGCGGGAATTCGATCGTGAGGAAATGTAGGTAGAGGTGGTGTTGATTTGAATTAAGTAGTCGACAATTGATTGAAATTCAGTCAATAGACAATTGATTTTAAAAGGCCGGTAGGAGGATTGCGATTAAAATATATGGAGTGACTTCAAATCAGTTCTTTGAAGTGGTGATGTTGAATGAGTTCAGGTAAATCTACCATTGAAGCTATCAATCAACAAAACAAAACTTCACGAAACTTTTTTTTTGCTCAAGATTAGAAAAAAATGAAAATATGATCACGTGTAGTGGTTATCGTAAAGTGATAAAAGTGTCGGTGCAGGTTATGATAAGGTGGATCCGAGAATGGAAAGATGGGGGGCTATTTTAGTTGTTGTTATGAAAACCGATTGGCCAATTAATTGATTAGTCAAATAATTATTACACCACCAACCTTTAATTTTAGCTTTGGTCCAATTTAACCTTTCTTATTCCTTGCCGAGAACCACCTTTCCTTTTCCTTACCTAACCAGTTATAATGAGGCAACCTGCATTAGAGATACTAGGTAATAATGCGTTGACTAAGAATGCATTTTAGGCTTAGTTTCATGGTCATCACTTGTTATTGTTTAAATATGTTCTCTGTATATCCCCCCAAAAGTTCTCGTCTTTGCAACTAAATTTTATAAAGATTTGAGTTGATTTGCGACAGCCTTCTTATTCGTCCAAAATAGAGAGCACCGACCACCACCAATCATTGACCATCAATCATCAACCCATCATCAATCCATCGATTATCAACTTATCAACACTGACCCATCTGACAAATTCAACAAACCTCACTCATCTCACCTAAAATGCACCTCAATTAAAATGCACCTCGACACATGACCTTCACCACCTTAAAAAAATAAGAAGAAATATAACGAACATCTCTTATCGAAAGGGACTAATAAGGTAAATTATATTTTGTTTCATTTTATCTCAATCTGTTATTTTTGATCTGTGTTTTTTTGAGGATATACTTGTTCTCTCTGCTCTTTCCCCCTTTTTATTTCACACATCGGATCGGATCAATAGGAAACGACGAAAACGATATTCATTTCCATGGTTCCTTCATTCATTCATCAACATCAACATCAACATCAACATCAACATCAGCTACACCATCAACAAAATACACTGAGTCCAATTTTCAAAAATCAAGACTCTTTACCACGGTTCAGATCATTTACCGCATACTCATACTCAATACTTATAATTAATACGGTAATACCGTACCTGTCTGTATTGTTGCTAGTTCGATTTTTGGAGGTCTCTTTCGCTAGTTGTACCTTTCACGATAAAATCGCGTCGCGCTTCAATTCACTCATATGAGGATCTCTCTCATTGCCTCTCATTTCGATTGATCCATCTCGAAAAAGAATACACTTCAGTCTCTACCACCACTCTACTCTCACAGTTTTCGACTCACATGTTTAATGGTACCATCAAACCAAAATTCAAAGGACAAAAATCAAAATTCCCGAAGTCGCGTTATTCTTCATCAAAACAACAACAACTATACCTATACAAAAGCGGCGCATAGCATCCTTTACATATCGACACCAACGTATCAACACACGTTGCGATCACAGCTTTTAAACAGAAAATTCACTTATTGTTTCGTATTGGTCAAGTCTTACGGAGTCGAAATCAATCAAGTCTTAACATCTTCACATTTTTTTCTCTCTCTCTCTCATTTCACCCACCTTTTTCATTAAGAGTGGCCAGATATTGAACTGTCCTCCGTCCTCACTTTCGAATACGTAAGGCTACAACCTGAACTCTTTGTCGTGCGCGTACCACATACCGACGAGGCTACACCAAGGATTAATATAAAGGCCGGTTCAGGAACATTCACATATCCCGCCACCATACCACACAACAACATACAACATACACCCACCATACCTTTGCCCTCCATAGATTTATTCTATTGTATGGTACAATTCAGCTTTCCGCTTCAAAATCGATTTTTCCTTTTGTTATTCACTTCATTAAAGTCGCGTGATCGATCGAGCTTGCGGTCGCAATCTAACTAACTGAGTTACCCAGTAGTTAAATAATCCTCTCTCTTGTCGCAAAGATCTATCGCACAACAAAACCCTCTAACTTGCAACCAAAAAAAAACAATCAAACCTTCAGAACTATCAATTTTCAGAGAATCAATACATTCAGCCTTTGTCGCATTGCTTTTCTTTCAATTTTCTCAGCCTCAGAATCATCCTAGAGCCATTTCCCCGTCAATTTTGTCAAAAAAGCAGTCCCTCTGTACATAGAGGATCTCTGTTTGTTGATGGCCGTCATGACCACCCATCATTCAGAAGATCTAGCTTTGGAGCAAAAGACAATACCCGTTCCATCATCTGATACGATGGCTTTGGATCTCAACATCAACGGGTAAGTCTTCTTTCTACCATAGTTTCTTTTCTTGTTTTTCCTTTTACCTTATCTATTTGTACACATGTATTTATCAATGAAAATTATACAGAACTTCTACTCGAGATGATTCCAAAATTGAACAACAAGAATCCTCTGATGCTGAATTGAAGAAATCTCCCGAATTCACCAATTCCGAACCTGCCGAAATTACCTCTACGCCAGAATCAAACGAAGAAGTGATGGCAGATTCCCACACTGCTAACAGTCCTCAACCTCTACCTACATTAGTCGAGTCGCATGCTCAATATTCTCCCGAGAGTCATGACGTATCGCAAATTCAAGACTCGAATACAACGACTGTTTCCGACGAGCCTCCAAAGCTGGTCGAAGAGCCAGAACGCGCCGAATCCGATCTGCCAACACCAGCCGCTTCAGTGCCAGAGGCTGCATATGACAATCTCGCGCTTACAGCTGTTTCGCCTATTGTGGAAGCTCCAGTGTCTAATATGCGCGACGAAGTCTCCCCACTTACCCAAGTACCCGAAACTATACATCAGCCTTCATTGCCAGCTTCAGATAACATGGAAGTACCATTGGTTTCGGAACTAGAGGCTTCTGCGCCAAGTCAAAAAGCACCAAGTCAAGAAGCACCAAGTCAAGAAGCGCCAAGTCAAGAAGCGCCAGGTCAAGAAGTCCCAAGTCAAGAACTTAAAGTTGAAGGTGCGGTTGATGACATGAACCTCAATTTCGATGCGCCTCGACCCGATCTACCTCCATCATCTCCCAACAATGCGCCGCCTTCTATCGATATGGACGTTTCTCCAATCCCACAGCAAGTAGCGGCTGAGCCTACCATTGAATCCATGTCCGCCGATGTCAGTTCTAATGATGTCGAGATGACTGACGCGCCTGCACAACCTCAGATCACGAAGATTGCTCGCGAGCGAGAGGATGATGGTGAAGAGGAGCCATCTGCCAAACGTACCAAGACTGAGGAAAGTGAGGAACCTAAGGAATCTTCAAATGTCGGAACCCCAGCTGCGCAGAATGGAGTGACTGCAAATGGCGCTTCGGCTTCTAATGGGAACACGTCACGACCGATCACTCCGCATGAGACCAAAGAAATTGTCAAAATCATCAAGAATGTCATCAAGACTGCAGCTGGAAAGAATTTCAGATCTCCAGTCTCAATTCTTTGGCCTGGATTCGCTGATGCATATGCCGAGAAAGTCAAGAATGAGGTCGATTTAGGTACCATGGAGAAGAAGATCAAGGGCGGAGAATACCCTTCGATTCAAGCCATCAAGGACGATGCTGTACTTCTCTACGATAACGCTGTTGCTTTCAATGGACTCGATAATCCCATCACATCTGCTGCCAAGGATGTGAGGATATCGATTCTTACCAAGCTGGGAAGTCTTCCAGTCGAGCCACCAGCCCATGTTGCCAAGGCGCAGATCAAGAAACCCAAGCGACCTACGCCATCTCTCGACACTGCTGCTCGTGCTCCTGCTGTCAGAAGACCATCTCGCGGATCTTCTGGTGCTGCTCCACCAATGAGTGCTCCACCTACAACCTTTGCCCTCGACCCAGTCACCAGTACACCATTGATTCGTCGTGATTCAACAAAGGACGGTAGGCCAAAGCGTGAGATACATCCGCCAAGAAACAAGGACTTACCATATTCAGTACGACCCAAGAGCAAGAAATATTCCGTTGAGCTCAAGTGGTGTGAGGAGACACTCAACGAGATGAAGAAGTCAAGATATTTTCTATTCTCCAGTGCCTTCTTGACCCCTGTTGATCCCGTCGCATTGCAAATTCCCAACTACTTTACCATCATCAAGTCGCCTATGGACATCTCTACTGTCTCCGAGAAGCTTCACAGCGGCGCTTACACAAGAGCGAAAGAATTCGAACAGGATGTTAAACTCATCTTCCAGAATTGTTACAAGTTTAACCCCGACGGAAATCCCGTTCGTATCATGGGTCAACAGTTTGAGGAGCTGTTCAATGGATTGTTGGCCCAGAAAGATCGATGGATCGCTGATCATCAACCTGTGGCTGCAACACCAGATAGAGATGACGAGACCGAGGAGGAAGAGGAGAGCGAGGACGAGCCAGAGCCTGTTCAAGAAGCATTCCAGAGTGCTGCTACACTTCGACTCATCGTGGAACAAACTAAGCTTATCGATATGCTATCAAAACCAGAATCTAACGATGCCATTGATTTGCAGAGGAAGATTCTTACCGTCATTCAAGAAACCGTCGATAAAGAAAAAGAAAAACGTGCGGCAGTTGCGAAGAAACCCATCAAAAAGTCAAGGCCTTCCAAGCCCTTAAAGAGAGCTCCGCCAACCAAGAAAGCTACTGCTGGACCTCCGAGAAAATCTGGAGGAGCTCGCCGAGAAAAATACATGGGATCTCTCGAGAAGGAGGTAATCTCGGCAGGAATTGGCGGACTACCGGAACACTGTCTTACCGAAATAACTGCCATGATCCAACAAGATCAACCAGAAACCATAGTGAGTAATTCTTCGTCCGTGTGATAAGCTTCCGTCAACTAATCTTTTTTCTTTTTTAGCTCGAGGATGATGGTACTATGGAACTGGACATCGAATCGGTTGCAACACACATTCTCTGGAAAATCTATGAAGCCATTCATCAACACCTCCCAGATGTTGTAGCTAGTGTTAGAGATGCACATCAAGACAAAAAGGAAGAGCCTCGTGTTGCTGCCAAACCTGCTCAAAAGAAGAAGAACAAACCAATGTCAAAAACCGAGCAAGAACGAAAGATTGCAATGCTTAAAGAAAAGGTACAAGAGTTTAGTCGACCGCCGGGATCGGCTTCTCAAGAACCCATTGACAGTGTCGAGCAACAAACGCAAGAGGAATCAAGTGGTGATGAGTCTTCGGATTCCGAAGAAGAGTAATCTTGTCTCCATCGACGCCCTCCACCTGGCTGTCTACTTGAGAGCTCGTACTTCACTGCCAGATATTGGGTATTTGTTTTTTTTTTAGACAATCCCAAAGAAAACATACTCTCAACTTGTACATTACCTTTCTCCCCGCACAAAAGCACGTTGTATAATATCATAAGTCCAAAAATCCATCGACATTCCAAGTTCCCATGACTCAAAAATATCCACTTATTGTTGGATCTTACTCACTGGTTCCAAGCAACCGGTATTTTAAATGGACAGGTGGCCAAAAGATCGATGACGATCACTCGATGGATTTTAACTTTTATCACATGCTTTGTGCATTTTTCAAAATGTTTGCGACTTTAAGGAGGCGACAAAACACGAGTTGGGTTGGAGGGGTGGAGGATGATAATTGAGTTTTTTTTTTACGTGCTGATAGTACCGCTTCCGTGCGTGCTGATGATGGACCTTGATCGCGATAGCTGATCACAATACTCTTTTATTTTGGTATGAAGGACCTTGATTTAGTTACTTGCTTTGCCTCGCGCACATTTTACTTGGTAATTGTTGTGGCGTGGCGAGGCGATGAGATGAGTTGTGGGTGGGGTGATGGGGGGAATTCGTTAATTGGGAGGGGAGGGGAGGGGAGGGGATTAGTTTGGGATGAAGTGTATGATATGATATCAGCGGTGGGTGGGCTGGGTAACTCAATCAATCAATCAATCAATCGTCTTTTGTGGGGGGGCAAGCAAGTAAGAATAGGCAAGCAAGCAAGCAAGCTATTTGGTGAACACTCGAGTAGTCAAAATGATATGATGGGAGAGGTGAGGGGTGAAAAGCATATCTGATCAGATGAATGCTTGCATGCATACTCGTACTGGAGAATCAATGAATAAAATCAGCGGTAGATTAATTACTCTCATACCTGCGCCTGCTACGAAAATTGAATTTGTTTTTATTTTCATACTACTCGAGTAAGATACTTGAATTCTATCTATTCATCAGCAAATGACTAGATCTTGAACTACAGATTCTGTGCTCGTAGATTCTACACTTCTATTATAAATTCTATTTTAAACTTTTATCCTTTTACCTTTTTTACTATACATTCCACCCTACTCTTTCACTATCACTATACTCTTTCACAATAGATTTAAATTTTACCCCTTCTACCCCTTCTACCCTTCTATCCTCCCACTATTCGATTATAAATTCTACCCTTTCTCATTTTCTTTCTATCGCTTCCTTCTTTCTATTTATAGATAGATAGATTCTATTTTTCTATTATAGATTTTATTCTTCTATTATTCCGAGTAGATCCTATTCTATTCTACTTTTCTACCCCTCCTCAATAAATTCTATTCCTCAATACATTCCATCCCTCCTCCTTTTCTCCCTATTTACCCTACCCCTTCTCCTTTCCATCTCTTCTTCTTTCAAGTTCTATCTATAGATATATTTCATTATACAAGTAGAAGGAAGGAAGTGGAAGTGGATGATATAGATGGGTAGGTGCTAGGCAGGTAGGTAGCTTGTTGGTAGTGAGTAGGTAGATAGCCAGGTGGGTATTTAGTAGGTAGGTAGGTAGTGGGTAGGTAGGTAGTGGGTAATTTGTTAATCGGTATGTAGTTTATTGATAGTTTGATTTATTTGTTAATCAATCAATTAATCTTTATGGAATGAGATATTATTTGAATATAAAAATGATTGAGTGGATGGATGGATGGATAGATGAGTGAGGAGTGAGGAGTGAGGAGTGAGTGAGGAGTGGGTGAGAATGTGAGTGAGGAGTGATTTAGATCCTTACTTTTATGATATACTATAACTAACTGACTAGTTAGATAGCTAACTAATCAATTAACTAATTACCTATACAAAGGGAGAGAATCAGATAAGATGCAAATAAAAGTAGGAAGTGGGAAGTGAAAGTGTTTAATAAAAACGAAATAGGAGCTGGGGATGGTGGCGAGAGATAGGGTGGATGGGACGGTTGGAGTAAATGAGAGGAGAAGCGATGAGATGAGAGGAATAGGGGGTGATGTACTGTATATAAGGGCAGTTCTTTCTAGGTCCAAATATTATCTCAAGATTTCTCAAAGGCTCTGAAACAAAATTTATGGATTTTCGAGGTGACTCCCATCTCTAGTTCCATCTCTACTACCTACCATCTCCAAAAGCCATCTCATCCACTTTCTTGGAAACCAAATTCTTCTCTTCGCTTCCTGAGTTCCTCTGTGTAGAAATACAATGAGTAAGGTAAATGATTGTTTAATTACAAAGAGAGAGTAATAATGGAACTAAAAAGGGGAGAGAAATCTACCTAGATATTTTATACAGGATCTGCTATTATATTATTCGAATACTATATAAATCTATATAAATAAAATTGAAGAATGAAGAAAGACTCTTGGAGATATTTGGAGAGGGCGTTAGGAGTTAATTAGGTAGTTAATGTATAGATTAGTTGATGTATAACTGATGTGTAGATCAGTAGGGGACATGTTGATTTGTTGTTTCAGTGTATCTATTCTCATATTCTAATACTAGTCTATATAATTTCGCTAATATCTAGCATCTAAAGGCCGTTTACTCTTCATATAACTCTGTGTGCGTTTGGAAACGCTACTGAAATCTTTCCTGTCACATCTCGCAACATTTAGCATTTGCAAATTGTCTCGAAGAAAATAATAATAAGTTAGGAAGTTACTCGATATGGATACAGCCACCGAAAGCAGATGCAGATGCAGATGCTGAATATCATAATCATGATGTATATGGGAAAACCGCGATGTGTTACTCGGATTGGAGTTTTGCTTCGATTGTTTTCGGTTGCTAACTACTTTACTCTAGTTATGTTATGAACTTATGGGATTCTTGCAGTAGGGGGTTAGCCGTGTGGATTAGCTGTGGGGATGGAATTACTTGGACTGGAGTCGAGTTTGAATTTAAGATATTTGTCTTATGAGGGAAAGAAAAAGGAAGCAGCGGTAGTGGGGGCTTCGGAACTTAGGGCAATTGATTGGGAAACTTATGCTTCTTAAAGGTGTTTTTAGATTGGGTGGGGGGTGGGGATTATGTATTTGTGAAGGAAGGGAGATTGGAAAGTTCTTCGAGAATAGAAGACTATTCTACTCATTGAGTAGTCGATACTCTGAGTATAGCTAATTTATTGCGAATATATGTAAGGTATTTTAAATGCAAATGCAAATGCAAATCTAGACAGATGGGAGTACTGGGATACCTAACGAGGGCCACCAAAGATGGATCACGGTTACAGATTCTATGGATTTTACGTCGCGGCTTGTGCAATCAAGGGTAGTGGGAGCGGTATTGGTAGATGGAGAGTTTACGGCAGGTGTTGGATTTGGATTTGGATTTGGATTTGGATTTGGATTTGGTTGTTGATGTTGATGTTGAAGGGATAGGAAGGGATGCAGGATGTGTGGAGACAGGTTTGTTGGGTTGACTGCGAGGGATTGGACGGGTGGGATTGGCGGGATTGGGATGGAGGTTGCTGGTTATTGGTAATGGCTCTGCGGGGTTTGGGTTTGCATTTACAATTGAAAGGGTGTGTGTGTGTGTATGTTTTCATTACTACGTTTTAGTATAGTATGGGGTAAGAGGAGTGCGGTAGTAAATCGAATATTAAAGATATTATGGGCACTACTTCATTTCCTGGATAAGCATATATGTATAATGAGACAGTAAGCTACCAGTGTATCAAACAGAGGCTCTTCTCACAACATTCGATTAGCATTGAGTGTGTTAGTTACCTAGCACTAGATTTAGATTACCGTTTTGCCGAAGACGAAGATCTCAGGCAATATAAAAGAAGTTATTCATACTTGTAGTCTACAAAGAGAAGTAGGTATTTCTAATTAGTCTCTGATATAGATTTGTTCTTGTTGAATTTATATATATAGTATAGAACTTAGGCCTTGAAGTTAGACAATTGCTAGAATTCGAAGAACTCAGAAACTTGTTTTTTTATCTATAGAAAACATTATATAAACTATTTGTCAATATGTATAAAAATATAAAGACTATTTAACTTGTGGGATGATAGTAGTGAATGATAGATGAGTGAGGCAAGTACAGGAGCTCGTATGTCTATGAACAGCTAGCTGTATTGAAAATTGATAAGCTCTCCTCATCTAAACTATAGCTGTCCTTGATCTATTACAATACTTCTTCCTCCATCAACAAATTTTTCAAGTTCTTTATTCGAACATTTTTCTAGGTATCGCTGATATCTTATTCCTGTCTTCACGCTTTGGAGTACTCAACACAGAATCCGTATTTAAGTTTCTAAAAGCTAAAATAACTAAAGTTGCTCACACTTTCAGCAAGTACACCTTCTCATCTTCAACAGCATGTCCTATCTTGTCGATGGCGGCACGAAAAACTTTACCATATTTCCAAATCTACCTCTCGAACTCCAACGTAAGATTTGGAAATCTGCTTCTTTCCACCGTCGCGATGTACTCGTCGGTATCAAATATTCATATCAAATGTCAGACTGGGTTACCGGAAAATGGAGATTTGATCGTAAATATTTATTCAGGTTTCGATCCGACAATCCCGTCCCTATTCTTTTTATGGTCTGTAGAGAGGCTAGAATGGAGGCAAAGAAACATTACAAAAAGGTGTTAGTAGCCAAACACACCTTCAAGTTCTTCTCTATCACTCAGGTTCCTCGATTCTACATCAACCCTACAAGCGATATAATCTCTCCAGTCGGAATGGATTTTCTTACCAGGCCTCAACAGGTATTCATCGACACGATAAATGATCTATAAGTCCATTGCCTCACGTTAGACTAAACACAGTGGGGTTATGATTGTTACAACATGGATCTTTGGATTGAAAGGGTCACGGAACCTTCTAACCGCGTTCGATCCTTGGTGTTACACGCGGAACCAAACGTTGTCGTTAAATATGGTAGATTACAAGGCTCTCGAAATCTGCGAAATTTGTCTTGCCACTGGGATTCACTCACTCCTCTCCAACAATGCTTGCTCTGTTCCGCAATCTCAAAATTCGGCATAGCCATCGAGACCATGCGCAGAAATATCAGGAGGCAGATCTTGCAGGATCAACTTACTGAAGCAAGCGGCGCTCCTAGACAATTATTGCCATGGTCGGGAATGACATATTTCAGAAAAGAGTCAGTAGCACGTGGCCCTCTGGAGGATTCGAGAAATTGGGTGGATCCAAGTATTCAACTAATGGTGGATCATATACCATATTTCGTCAGGAAGTTGTTGAACTTCAACGAGGTCCTACCGCTGTACCAGTGTGATGATACTGCATACACTGTATGTTACGCACCGTGGGCGATCATGATGCGAGAAGGACATTCGCCTGTATAGTATCATACCAACCATACTTCTGATTTCGGATTGACGTGTTCTTTACCACGCCACAACTTGAGAGAAACTTTGCTCAAGCTCTTGCGCGGAACTTTTCTTTCAGTCTAGTTTCATTCTTGAATATTGCAATGTTTCAGGAACAATCAAATGTCTAATCTAGACTACCTCGCCTAATTATTTGCCCCTCACACTAATCTCGATTTTCATCATTGCACTGTTCTTAGTACAATCAAGGAGTTCGTCTAGTCTATCTTGTCCACCAAGGTTAAGCGCAGTCTAGGGGGTAGATTATGCTTTTATGAAGATGCATACCAGAATGCATCTCACAACACTCTTCCACATCCGAACTTATTTGATAACCAGATTGTCTCCCGTGCTTAGATGCTCATGACACTTTATAATTCAAAATTGGATTCAACTATCGAAGGACACTTTCTAGACACAAGGTCAACACATAACCGACAATATTCCGCTTGTGAAACAAAACGGACTGCTGAAGCTTGATTCAAGCGCATCGACATAGGCTGTCACGTCTTTTCTAGGCTTTCTTTGTGGGCAACGTTTCTTTTGGTAGAGGATATCAAGTATGAGCAGAGATGAGATAGTGGGGTAGGAATCATTTGATCTTTATGGTGATGCGATTTACACTCCTCTTATTACCAGTATGTCACAGTAGAGTAGCTCACCGGGAGTGCTGACTAATCGTCTTTTCTACTGGTCTGACCCTAACCCTATCTATCGCAGATTTAAGGCCAGAAATTTCACAATAAATACGCTGAAATGACGACCTCTATATACAGCGCATAAGTTTCAAGGTTCCAAACTTTATTTGTATGTGTATGGACTGATGATTTTGCAGATGCATACTAACGAAGACTGAGAGCGGATGAGTAGTCGTTATATATCAGGTAATCTGATAGAGTGATGGTCTACTTTAATACAGGTGGCCGCTCGAATGATCTTACAGGCTTAATATTCTGGCCTCCAATCCAACCCCTTGCCCGCAGCCACAAAGCGGGGGAAATTCCCAACGGCACAGCTTCCTTGGCCGTCATTACCGATGCACTGCAAAAGAAGAGCCCAACGGAAGATGGGAGCTGCATTTCTTTGCATGACTGTAGTGTACGCTATTACTCTCGACATTACAAATTGTATATCATGCTGAACCTTCTTTTCGAAAGTTCAAATTTTCCGTCCTTCAAAAATGCGGCTTCCTTCATTCATATTAGACGCAGTTTCATTTCGCAAGATCGAAGAAGATCCCGGCCCACCGCCTGATGGTGGCACTCGCGCATGGCTTCAAATCCTTGCAGGTCATCTCATCAATGCCTTGACATGGGGTTATTCTGCTTCGTATGGAGTTTACCAGCTTCACTATACCACCACTTTGAAATTGCCACAATCTCAAATAGCATGGATTGGATCAATTCAAATATTTCTAACATTCTTTGTTGGGACTTTTTCTGGTCGCTCTGCCGATGCCGGTTATGCGCAACACACTGCTCTGTTAGGCTCGTCGCTTCTCGTGTTTGGAACGTTCATGACTAGTCTCGCGACAACTTATTGGCAGATATTTCTGGCTCAGGGCTTATGTACTGGTCTTGGCATGGGTCTCTTGTACATGCCCGCTGTAGCTGTTATTGGAACATATTTTGCGAAAAACAAAGCTATGGCACTAGCAACTTCGGCGTCTGGTAGTGGTATCGGGAGCATTATATTTCCTCTTATCGTACAACTACTTGAGCCAAAGATAGGGTTTCCTCGCGCGGTACAAATCCAGGGTTGTGTTGCGTTAGCACTCGCTATAGTCATCAACCTTCTTCTACATCCCAGACTACCACCTCGAAAGTCTGGACCGATTGTTGAATGGAGCGCTTTTCTAGAGCCAGCTTATACACTCTTTACAATAGGCACATTCCTCATATTTTGGGCGTTATACTTCTGTTTTTTCTTCATCAATACTTATGCAACGACAATCATTGGTCTTTCTGATGAATCAGCCGTATATCTTCTCATTGTCGTAAGCAGTGTTGGTATACCCATTCGACCTCTGCTTGGTTTTGCTGCCGATCGATACTTCGGTGCCCTTCCAACCCTAATCGTCAGCTCTTTTGCTTTAGGAGTAATGCTATATGCTTGGATTGGAATTCACTCGGTGCCGAGTATGTATATTTGGTCTGTTCTCTATGGTCTGGCGACAGGAGCCACCCAGGGTGTTTTCGTCGGGGGACTCGCATCATTAACGACTGATCCAAGTAAGATGGGTACGAGATTTGGAATGGTGTGCTCCGTGCTGGCGTTTGCAACGCTGGCTGGGCCACCAACAGCTGGTGCTTTGATCCAGGCTGAGGATGGAAAGTTCACTTGGGCAGAGATATGGGCAGGTACTGTGACTATCGTGGGAGGTCTTTTTATTGTTGGTGCAAAATGGATGCAGCGATTGGCATTTCGACGAAGCCAAGCTCATGAGATGCAGACAAGTGCATCTCAAGGGTTCACTGTGTAATTGGACTACTTATTTTATGCCGAACATGAAGCAGGGTAGTTTTAACACTTACTGCGGGAACAACGTTTACTTTTCAAGATGGTCAACTTGACTGAAGCTCGACGAGAACAACTATTCCACGAAATCTCTAGCTCTAGCTTGTGGTCGGTGTGAGATGACATCAGGGGATACTGGCGATATACGAATGTTCCTTGACCCACTCGAGCACACGCTTCATGAAGGTTGACAACGTTCCACTCGAATTCAGTAAAGGGGAAAGTGAAAGATTTAGTTTCGAATACCAGCGTGCTTTGTTTAAATACCATACAAATGAACCCCACTGAGAAATAAAACAATCGCTAGTTTTGCGCACTTCGCTGTTCTCATTATTCTGTCCCGCGTTGTTGGTACTTACGCTCGGATATCTTGCAAGCATTAACTTTGAGGGTTCACATACAACGTATTTCTAATGTATGTCTTAGTTCCAAGGTGCAAATATTCGGTACTACACGAGCCTTTCCAACACTTCCAGTAAAACCAACAAGTTGGTATAATTGGGGCGTACAAACGAAAGGCTGAGATCCGATACTGACTACGGCTATTTACCACTTCGCATTTCTTTCGTCCTTAGATATTCACTATTTACTGAGAAGAATGATTATCCTGTTTGCCGTCGAGGTTTTCAGATGAGATTGATTTCACCTATCGAGAGCGCGCTAGTTGCAGTGAATGTAAGAGACTATTGAAAACTTGATTGTATGTCCGGAGGCATAGCCTTACTTTGTAAGTGTAAGTAAGTCTTAAATCACCAAATCATCAGGCTAAGGAAGAAGGTTCCGTCCGTCGATTTAACTTCCTCTAAGGCGCTACCTTGTCCGGCACTTGTCTTCCAACCAAAGTTGATATTTTCTCCTACATCATCAAGAGAAACATCAAAGGCTTGTAATAGCATTCAAATCTGCCCGAAATGTTTTCACTATTCATATTATTCGCTTTAATTTTGTACAACCTCACAAATGCGGAGCCGATGATTTCACAAAGCCACTTAATGGACAATGACTCGGGCTTCAGCAAGTCAAACGCTTTCGAATCCTCAAATTCTCATCCTCTAACTAGAGCTCCGGATCTCAGACGTCGGCAAGGGGCCATGGGACGTGTTATTTGTGGATATTACTATGGGAATAGTAGCTCCCCTTAATAATGTCAATAGACTCGACTTGTACCACGGCATATACCATTGGAGTCTGGGGCTCATGTGTTTATAGCAGTGATTATCCAATTTGTTCACTCTACGGTGCTTGTGTAGATTAGGAAGGATGCAGTGATGCCTGCAGCCCCAATGCTGATATCAATAAACATGTCTATACCAAATCTCTATCTTGGTAGGTCTTTTTCAGCTCCTCAAAATTTACGACGCTAAAGCGCGACTAATCTTCTATATTCAAAGTTCGACAGACTACTGCCAAAGCACTCTACCATCAAATAATGAGAGTCCCAGTCTTGGGACCCAGACTTCGTACGCTTGCAATACTACTTCGCAAGAGATGCCAGTCCTTATTTTTGTCGCGCCACTGGAGACTCCAAGTAGCGTATTAGCTAGCACGACCACTTCGTCTGATTTATCGGCTACAACGTCAATAAACTGGCAGACCATCGCACTATCTCCGGCATCCGGTCCTCAATCTACACCAACTCATTCTGTCACCTCAACATCAAGCTCTGGTCCGACGTCAACTGCATCTCAGGCAACAATCACATTATCTTCGGATAATAAAGTCACTTCTTCGGATACCGGTAGTCATATTGGTGCGATAATAGGGGGTTTGGTTGGAGGAATTGCCTTAATCGCATGTATAAGCTTTGGAATATGGCTACTCCGCAGACACGGAAAAAAACACAATCAATTGCCAACAACGAAGCCAAGCTCTCCATCCGATAATGTGAAAGATCCCATTTATCATGTGCATGAGCTGATGGAAAAGAGCGGAAATACGCCTGAGCTTGGTGGAGATATGATAATGGCGGAGGCGGATAGTCCCGGAATAGATAGACCTCCTGCTGAATTGGAGGCATGAAGATTGTGATGAGAGGATTTGAGTCTACTGCTATACACATTGAAGTCAGTCAACTGCATGTATTCGTTCGCCTATGCCTTGCAGTTTAAGTATGGAGAGGAAACAATGTTCTCGAGTAGTATTCGATCCTTCGTGCTACTGTCACATCGGAAAAATGAAATCGGCAGATGGAAATTAGATACTTGGTCTATAAGCACTCTATTGAAGTCTTCAGATCCTTCATTTGACTGAAGATAACAAAAACGAATCACTGGCACATTATCTGTGGGTGATGGCCCCCACTCAGGGGTTCGTGTGGAAACTATGTCACGGTTCTGGGGGAACATTGGGGGTTCAGGATGTGGCGAAGCTCGACCTGCAACACCAAAGTATGCAGCACGACAATCGTACATTAAATACGATGATTATGCGACACCGGATAATGTTATTGAAGTTAAATCGTACGTTTTATTTTTATGTAGTTTGTCGTCTTGGACTTGCATGCGCTCTTCCCTGATTTCGCGAATCAATGAATTTACCTCAAGCATTTTGGGAATCTTGGATTTTTAACTGCTGTGGACGTTGTAACACGCGTTATTTATGATTCTCATTGAACGATAATTGAATATGTCTTTTGACTTGGTGGTTTTGGTTTCTAAGTCGGCTGAGGGCAATGTGGCAATCCCAACGTCGACTACACGTTTTACTTCATTCTCTGTCATGACTTTGTTTGCGTTTACTATCCCTAAACCAACGACAAGTCTTCCGACTGTCTTTATAGAGACAATCGCAACCTCTAGAACCAAATCGTTCTCATTCAAAATGATCACCAAGACAGTACCTTTGGCACTTGGAACATCCTCGATAGAGGTATCTCCAGTCACGATGTCATCTCCCTCATTATTGCAAGAACAATCACCCAGCAAATATCCTTTCGAAGTCTCATACCCACAACACGCCTAACACCACGATAGACGCAATCTCACAAGTACTTTGGGAGAACTCAGCTTCCTGTGTGCGCACTTCTCGGGGGACTCTACTTTCTCAGGATATATCAAAGTAGACACCGAGCTTTACCTGAGCCAACAAGTATCGATCCGAAATATCCGAGGAAGACGACGGAAGAGATCCTGTACATGAGATAATAGGAGAATCAAATCTCGGGAATCCTCGGCAAGAAATTGGAGGAAATAACCTTTCGAACTCAAATGAGGAGGTGCTAGAAACTATCAGGAGCCATTTGAGCTTTTATTTTCAATCTTTAGTGAAGATACACGAGATTAGTCGTGGGAAACACTGAACTCAGACTCTCCCTCTATCAAAAGCACTCAAAGAAGTCGAATTATAATTTCCCGTTTCAAGATTCATGCTTCTATATCGAGAATTATCAATACTTGAGGTTTCCTGAATATTGTGACAGGATTTCGTGCCTTGCAGTATGCACCATACTTTACCAGTCCGGAAAATCAATCAAATCTAGGATTTACATATGTTCCTACGTTCCTTCGGCCTTAGCACTTTCTCGAATTTCACACCACTAAAGAATTTATCTTTCTTTTGCGCATTGAATGCACAACTTTCAATATCACTCTGTGTTTCATGTGGTACATGTTCGTCCAATAGGCATTTTGCCGCGTTTAACACTGCGGCTAAGCTCATAATGTACAATCACTTCTGCAATATCACATCAACGTTTATGCTGTTTCTATGATCCTATGTCACCGCATAACATCATGCATACGGAAATAGTAACGTGTTCGTTGACTTTTCAAAATGTTTACTGTTTATGTTTCCTTATTACTATGGAATTACCCCTGGTTGTCAGCTTTGAGTGGGACTTTCTTGAAGTTGGTCTTACTTCAATCAAGTTCCGAGATCGGTCGATACAGCTGTATTATCTTTTCTTGGACTTCGTTCTCTATCTATCGACTTTTCCCTCTATTCCCCCAAGACTGGGACATACCTCATCATGACCTCTCTTTCAGATCCAAGTTCCGCGGTAGTGTCGTTATCAACTGGAACTACTATGCAAACAATCACGCAGACGATTCAAGGCTATACTGAGAGTGGGGTTATAGTCACGCATACTCACGATACAAATACCGCGCTCAGCAATGGTGTGATTGTATCAAATTTTTATAAGAGTTGGGGGCCCGAAGACATTGTGGTGGCGCCAACGACTCAAACTATCACGATCCCATCTTTGTTCACGTCCCAAGTGTCCATCCCAAGCTCGACTTCAATTTTACTAGAGTCAACTTTGAGTTCTTTGCGGGTCGTAGAAGGAAACCCGAGCGATTTTGAGCCGAATACGACTCCATTGTATACAAGTGCTGCATCTCCCACCTCATGGTCTTCTCGAATTCAGTCTACGCTAGCTGCATACGCATCCACCGTCAGTACATTTTCCACCGCATCATCTATCCAAATACAATCCAAACTAGCTATATCCCCGCCAACATCCACATCATCTCAAATCCAAGCTCCAAATACTTCCACATCTTCATCATCACAACAAAGCAGCAGTTTAAATTCCATTCATTCAGGAGTCATTCTTGGAGGTATTATTGGGGGTTTCGCATTCATATGTCTATTTACAACCGCCTTCTATCTTCTTCGCGTTCGGCTGCAACAGCAGCGACATTCTACCCTATCACCTAGCACAGATATAGATAATGAGTCCAAATTCCCAGAGATAGATGACGAAAAGAATCCCATTAGGGAATTGATGGGAGAAGGGAAGATATCGATGAGAAATGATAGACACGAGGTTAGAGAAGATATGCTGGCGGAACTCGCGGCGGAAAAGGATGAGGGGGGTCGAGGGTCTTGCAAGCTTGCTGAACTTGAGTGATGGTTTAGGAAGGAATAATGATTGCTTGATTATGCGAGCTTTGGGGAGCTTTCTTTGTACATAAATGGTTTACTGAATCATTTTTGGGTGGATGGCATGATCGGAGATGATTTCATGAATACCTTCTTTTGTATGGTAAGGATGTTGAGCACGATTTGCAACAACTGTACAATTATTTTGTTCCTCAATCTCATTGGTTTTTTTGGAGGGTATGATTGTGCTGTTGTGAAATAAATATTTTATTATCCACAATAGTCATATCTTAGAGCTTTGGGCATTGGACTTTGATAGGCATGAGATGAGGGCGCGAGAAAATATAGGTGGATGTATTGTGAAAGTTGTACTCAAGTATTACAAGTTGTATGAAACATGAATACTACATACTCATGGCGTCGTACCTATAAATATTATTAGGTAGAGTCTACACGCTAGTCACTTCCTCATATCCACAGTATCAATACACACAAACCGGGATAGTGGAAATTGGACACCTCCTCCAACACCCCCAAAGTAATCAAAGCCTCCCACTTCAAGATAAAAACCATACCGGTACTTTAAATCTCCAATTCTCTACCCAGTATACTATAATATAAAGCACACACCATCATCAATACATCCCCGCTTACTCATACAGTTTACATACATACCTGACCCCCACCCCAAAAAGAATCTCGCTTCCCTCCCCTCCTCTAACATACATATCCCAAATAACGCAAACATCATCACCGACCATGTCTATTAGCGCAATGGTAACAACCTAGGCTTGAATTCCATTTATAGTACAGTGGTTTTCGTAAAAGAAGTGGTCGGTACAGTCATTCCTCGGAACGTGATTGGGAGAGTAGGCCGTCTGGCCGAAATTTTGCTGGTTTCGTGGGTGAGATTTTTCTTTTTTTGTTTTTTTGTTTTTTTTGTGGGGATGGGGGAGTTGGGATGAGTTGGGATGAGTTGGGATGAGATGGGATGAGATGGGGATGGGATGATAGTATAGTGGTGGATGTTCGGAAGTAGAAGTTCACTGTTGTGCGGTTTATAAAAGATTTACAATGTCGGAAGAGTAAGCAATGGAACTATTGTCAATACCGGCATGTGCATGCATTTAATAATCACTATACTCTCTGGCTCTTTGATGCAAATTATTCTGTGAATGCAAATGAAGTCAAGGTATTGATATCTTCTAGGCTTTCTGAGTTTCTACTTTCTACTCTTTATGCTTGTACGAGTATTGTAAAAAGTGGATTTCATGAGCTTATGTTTCCCTGCAGCTAACTGCGAACTCCACTAGCTGTCTTTAATGAATTCCCTTCGTATGTTCGAGATATTTTTATCTTGCTAGTCAAAAACAGTCCTCAAAATATGCCGAAAAGCTAATGGAATGGAGCGTTTGTTACAGTCATTTCTTCTTCACTCTGTTCTAGCTTACTAGCTTCCGCAAACTTACACGAAGTAACTATCAATAGCTTGATTTACAAGAAGTTTATCAATCGATGTTGCTTGAAGGGTTTGAGCCCACATAAATTGCCTTCTACATCTCTCGCTAATCGATCTTACCCAGACATTTGCCGCGTCGATATCACTTACTATCTTTGTAAGTAGGTTTATCAGTATGATGTGCTTTGCACTTTGCAGAATATTTGTCACCAGATGACTCTACAATAGTCTCACAGTCTGTCTTTCTTCTGCTATAACCCCATTATCGCCAAAGCCTGCACTCCTAAAGCACCTACTTCCAACGAAAGCATCAGTCGGTATCTTCTTGTCCATCACAATCGTCGTCATCATCATCCTTCTACCTCTCCTTCTCCTTCTCCTTCTCCTTCTCCTTACTTGGATATACTTTCTTCGAAAACATCGCGAGAGATTCGAGAAAGTTGTGCCACGTATTGAAATGAGGCTCCAGAGTCAACTAGCCCAAAATATCTGGCGTTCGAGATTAATCGTGGAGATGATCTACTGGGGCGCACATCAGGGGTGTATCATTCATAGACCTATCTGCACACATAGGATTAGCAATGGCAGATAGTATAGGAATCATTCGCTACCAGATTGAGTTTTGGGGAATGAATGGATAGCCCAGATATGAAAGATTCATACCAGCAACTAAATAGTGACATGAATGAAAGACCGAGATGAGAACAAGACTGCATCTCTTCCGCCACTTCATGCATTATTGGGCAGATCGCAGAACTTATCTATGCTTCAAGTTCAAGTGCTTCCCGATCGTCGTCGATGGCATAGTATGCTTAAGACCTCCACTTCAAAGTACTTCGTCTCTGTTCTAATCCTAAAAGTCAAATAACTCACTTCATTACAAGCTAAAGAGCTTCCAAAAGAAGTAAAGCTGTGAGCCAATTGAGGGCATCCTTCTGCGTTCCAATCGACAAGCTTGAATCTAGGTCGTCTCTTGGTATGGGCAACTGTAAACATGGACTATAAATATAAACTGTAAATCTCGTTATATTACCAGTCAGCGTATGATGAAGCAACTCTAAGCCGCGTAGTCGAGATGATAAAAGAGAGTATTGTTGTCATGGCGATGAAATTTATGCCAACAACTTGTTTGTCTTCATCTTAGGAAACAGATATAGATCCATCTGATATCAGATGCGTACGTAGACTTGGCTGGCTGTGTGGATGTTTTGTCGTCGAGTGAATACTTGAAAATTAAAAAGCGAAACTGAGATTTCTTTCTTCAATCATCTTCGCCCATTTTGGAATGGTCAGTTTAATAATCAAGCAACGCAAATACTCAATTAATTTAGCTAATTATCACAGATGGCAATGCTATACACAGACGTGGTCACTTATACCAATTCTGGCGGTCCGGTCGACAACACAGTAACTTGGCTATATGCCTCCAACTCGAGATATACACCCGTATCAAATGAAGGCACAAAAGTAATTCGCCTTACTTCCGACGCATCAATATCACATACCTCCTTGAGGACAATCTTCGAAACAGTCAAGACAACTGTACCATCCACCACCATAAGTGTCGCCTCCTCTTCAACTAGCTCTGTGAACACAAAGGCAGTTGCTCTGAGCGAAATTAGTGTTTACAGTTCGATTTTGGAAACAGCCACGGATCCGAATTTGAAAAGTCAATTGAGTGCTGCTATGAGCCAACGGAGTACTTGGGCTAGTTTGACCGATAGTGTCATTACGACTGGCAGTGGGAGCGGAAGCACAACGTCCGGCAGTGTAAGTGGAAGTACTAGTCTGCACACGACAGCTAGTACTCCCTCGAGCAAAACCATTCCTCCGACAATATATATCGGACCATCAGGAACATTAACTACCCTCTCACCCTCCCAACAAACTGCCTTTGACCAGGCAAGCAAAGATGGCGCTCACAGATTAGTTGTCTACGAAGTACTCGGGTGTCTCTTTGGCATATTCATTCTCTCATGTACACTTGGATTGCTCGGCTGTTGCTGTGTACGAAAGCGACGTCGACGCCGAGGACGAAATGCCCCGCCACTCACCGAATACGTTTCTCCCAATCTAAGTTCATTGAACGGTTTGATGGCTGAAATGGGGAGGAAAATACGAATAGGGAGCAGGAGAAGAGGGCTGAGGGAATTAAGAGAGTTCCGAGGGTTCCTAGGACGATGAGTAATTTGCATTAATTGGAGCTACCTGATGGAATTGCGGAGTTGCCGGGTGATGGGCCTGAGATTTATTTTACCAAGGAATCTGAGGAGTTATATGGCAGAGGGATGATGGGATCCGAAGGGAATTGAGTGCGCAATGAGAGAGAAAGGGTCTGGGTGATGAGTTTTGAAATTAAATTGCGGGAGCTCCGAGTTGAGGATGAAAAATTAATATACGAGAAAATCGCAGCTATCTAAGAATTTACTTTCGATGTTCTTTTGTGCTGATTGGATGTTCTGCCGACATTCAGGGCTGGGGGAGAAAATATGAGTTTGAGAGGTCTTCTTCAAGATCTACACTCTCACTTAAAAAGTCTTCAACATAGATAATGGTTTTGCGAGATCAGCTGCCGGTAGTGGAATAACTGTCTCAACTCTATATTTCTATTCAAGGGTTCATCATGGTTCTACTGAGTGATTATATACGAAAAGTTGGAGTGACAATTGGCCCAGCGATATAATGGATCAACTACTTTGGTTCGTCGAATGGATAAATTACATTGGGTAGGATTTAGATGTCAGACTAATTATGCAAGGTAGATATGGAGATTCTATGTGTATTACTAGTGATTTGATTTAGTTAGAAGTAGATACTGAAGATCCAAATTCCCAACTCAACGTCTGAATAAGGTTTTCTCTTGTCAAAGTAAGGGAGACTTAATAAAATCACTTACTTGCATCCCTGCAAACCGCAGTGCACGTCAAAAGTTGTATTTGAATTCTAATTTTTTGATAATTGAACAAAATTAGTGAAGTACCGGTACCTTTGATTGATTTTATATAAATTAATTTGAGTGACCTCTTTCCAAGCTAGCCTATAAGATAACCATATGTCGGATCTATCCTGAACTTTGTCATACAACGAGCAGAGTAAGGCTTAATGAGAAACCTCATATTTGCTAAAATGATCAGCAGTATTGTTCAACGTCCCTTCTTTTCGGCCAATGTCACGGCTGAATTCGCTCGTTCTGGAGTATGACTAACTATCTCGAGGAAGTGACCCTAAAGGATATTCGCTCACTAGGTTAGTATAAAGTGATATAACGAGATATTATCACTTTTATGAATGTGAAATCGGTAATATAAAGTCTGCGATTAGGTCACGTAGTTCCTTGCACTCGAACTGTAGCTACTTCCATTTTGAAATTGTCTATTCATTCTTCATTCTTCATTCAACACCAGTGACATCCTCACTCAAATACAAATACCTTCCGGTGACTACTTATCATTTCCATGAATAATCATCCCAAAGATGATGTTCGTGCCAAAGGTTGAATGCGCCCCCACAAGAGTCTTCACAAATGTGCACCTCAAATCCGTTTTCCATTACTCAAAAGACCCACGATACGAATCCTTGGGCCATCCGTCAGAAGTATTCCATTCAAGCCTGGACGTCCTTCAAAAAATCGGTACTGCCAAACAAAATCATAAAAGTTGCTGACGAATTTGTCGTAATAGAATAAAGCCTCCTGCTTTTTCAAATCCACCAACTCCAGCTTGCCACGCGCAAGTGATGTTATTCTGTGGTAGCCGAATTCATCTGGTTTCAAATCTGCCCGTGGATGGATGAGTCTAGCCACAAAAATAATTTCCTCGATATTTGGATTGTTTATCAAAACACTTGCGTAGCAAATCATCACACGTCCCTCCTTTAGAGTGTGCATATCGAAGGCAATGCTGCGGATTGAATCGAGGCGTAAGACTTTACCAACTTCCTGTCCGGATGGGGGGAGGAACGTACTTTCGAGTACGTTCTCCGCCTCACAATCCTCCACATACAAAGTATCAGAGATAAGATTTATATGGACTTTAGCATCTCTCACAAGATAATCAGAGGCTTGCTTCTTTATGTTGAAGTTGAAGTTGACACCACGAAGTGTGGTACGGCGATGTTTGTAGATCATCGTACCAAAGCATAGGTCGTAAAACTTCAGGGCCGCGTTGCGAAGTTCTTGGTTAACTTGAAGGATGGGAGCAGCACTGTTGGTCTTTGTCTGGATTATGCGTACTAGTTCTTCAATTTTGTTTCGAAATGGAGGTTGAGGAGGACCACCGTGTCTCCCTTTTCTTTCGTTGGGATGAAATTCCATGCAACGAACAGCAACTGTACGAGGTGCGAAGACGACAAATTCCAGGATTCTCATTTGCAATTCTTTGGGAAGTTTGGAGAAACACGTAAATGTTGTCAGGGTCTTTGGATCGATTCCGCCAATGGCCGGATAGTTTCGAAGGGGTGTTGGTATGATACACGATGTAATATGTGCAGGTTCGCAGTCAAAGTGATCGCTCAATCTTAATACCGCATCTGGATAGAAATCATCGCGCCATGATAAATCATCAATCTGGTGCTGTAGAGTGTAACTTTCCGCAGTAAGGAAGTCGTTTTCGAGGACATTCATTTCAACATATGAGGAAGAGGGCGGCTCATATTTTTTCAAAATCGCTAACCAATTGTTCTGCATCTCGGCCTCTTCCAGTGTAACCGCATGACTTGTATCTTGGGTATTAACATCCAGTCTTCTCTTCGTCGCATCTTCCGATGTAGCATCGGTGTCTGGCAATGTGCTTGGGAGGATTTGAACTCCATTCTGAGTAGACCAGAAGTTGGCCTTTGGCGCATCACCAAGTCGTGATAGAAAGTTGTTTCGATAGGATCTGCAAATAGTGTAATTCAGCTCCGTGTTACTGCTTGGCTCGATCTGACGGATTCGCTCCACTACACATGGTGATGACAAAGGCAGCTCCATTCCGAAGAAATGGGTTCGAGTTGGACGAATCATCTTGGCTCAAAGTTCGGAATCGAAGTATGAGGAATAAAGAGAAAATGGGGGGGAGGTGAAACAAAGTTATTGTCTCTGATAGTAAATAAAAGTTGAGATAATCTCGGCAGGATCCGAGATTGCTATATCATTTCATCTCTACAAGGAGGCGAGGCTCGAATGGAGGGCATAAACAGATTCTCACAGCCTTGTACATGTGAGAGGAAATTTAACCACTTGATTTCTTTCAATAGTTTTCATTGTTTGATCTTCGAACTCTCATTATCAAGTCCCTCAAACCCTTTCCAAATAACCTCATCCTTTCCTTAGTCTATTATCGTTTCTTATTTCTTGTTTCCATATTATATATCGTTCCCACAACCACACCAGGTATCTCGCAATTTTCAAATTGCCAGAATACCAGTATCAAAGGTTACATAACATATGGCGACATGTAACATGGCTGCAACTATAATTCACTCATCTCGAAGTGAGATTTCAGTACAAGTGTATAGAATGTTGATTTTGGCGAATTATAGCCTAGGTGCTGTCGCAGTAGCCCTTGCTGCAATAGGCCTAATTTCTCTATTTGTCTATAACTAATTTAGGTAATGATACATTACTGGATCCGGCTAATAAGATCTTACAGTAATGTATCAAGATGAGTATGACTTCGTAACCGATAGAGGTCCCAAATATGTATATCATGAGCGCGCAAAGCTGCTATATCATTGATACCCATTTTAGAGCATTTTCGCCCGAATATTCCGAGTCGAGGATACAGATTGAACCTGTCTGTGTCTTTAGAACAGCTTGGGTAAAGTCACATAGACAGTCCATCATAGATGTACAACAGTACGAGACATCAATTTGAGAACGATTGATGAGGTTCATCACAAGATTCGTCGGGGATATCTACATGTATACATGTATATTGGGTGTACGGCATGTTCTTGGTTTGAGGTCGAAGTGATGTTTACTGTGCTTGGTGAGGGAAGAAAAGGTTTTGGTGATGTTGTTCGGATTTCTTTATGTGGGCATTCGTGTGAACGCTCATTTGGTAGTATAGCTCTGATCACAAACTATACAACTTTTAAATTAGGCTTGACTTGTTTTCGGAATTCCTACTTCCAGAGTAGGTTTTTGTTCCAAATTTCTCTCCCTGATTCTCGGATTTTAGCATCAATATGCATTAGCGGATTACTCTCCCTAACAATGTCGCTAGTCTAGTCAGTAGCTCATCAGTTGAGCCAGTGCACTGATTAAATTAACAGTTTAGTTTATTACATTTTAATCAGCAGTTTGGCTTAGTGTATATAATCTCAACTATAAATCAGAAATTATTATAAATTAATCTATTAATCTATCTAGCTAGACTGATTAAACCGATCAACTTAAAAGTTTAGTTTACTGAATTCTAATTAATAATCAATTTAGACTCTATAATTTCAACTATCATAGCCACCCTCTCCCAAACTGTCAATTCCCGAATAGTTCAAACTACTGACCACACTGAATGTCCCCGCCTTCGCTTATATCACTCCGAAAAGGAGAAAGATTCGATCCACATGACCGTGCATATCACATGATCAATATACATCCTTTCGGATCCATCATCTCCCGACCGAGAATACAGATGTAATCTCATATTTTCCGCCCATCTTACTGTAACAGTGTAATGAGATCACACATCAGCCATGATTACTCGGTCTTCCAGCCGCTATGTCACTATATCCTGGGAGAGCCACAGGTCCTTATGTCCTTGCGCACTGCCGAACCCATCAAACATGAATCTTTATCTCTACCAACACAAACCACGTATTTGAGTGTACCGGTATTAATATCAATTTCGAAACACTATTCTAAAAGGCGGAGAACATCACATTTAAGAGATCATTCTCTTCCCGACACAATGTATTCTACTTATGTGAATCGGAATTAACAGGTTTGGGAAAGAGTTCTCGCTGGTGTTTGATGGTGACGAGACACGACGAAGCGATTCTTTTTCTTTTGTTTAACTCATTTTCAGAATTGGTGTTTTGTTTCTGATCGGAAAGATTTGAAAGTTTGAATCTTAACGTCAAGTGATCATTTGTGCGGAGCGATTTGCCTGCAAGGAGATATTCGGCAGGAATTTGGAAATCCGTGGTTGTAATGGGCTCATCAAACTCCTCCGGATCATTTGGCGACTCCCTGTGTCTACTATTCGTTCACTTTAACAATTGGTTTTATAAAAATTCTTGCTCATCGCTCTACCTATGCTCAATATCCAAACCATCATTTCCAAGTCAAGTCCCACCAATACAAAAAATACAACATCCAAGCTACTCAAGTTCAAGATCTTGCGGCGGCCTCCATCACTTTATCCTCAGCCATCAGTATCACTTCTGCTAGTGTCTCCGTTACACCACTCATAGTTTTCCAACTTTCTACTACTATGATCAGCAATGAATAACACACCCAGTGCAAATTAAAAATGTTGTAGCAAGCTCATGGAATCTACGTTCGCTCAAAATTTTGGCCGACCTTTCATAGGAAATTATTCACCACCTGCCTGCGCGACTGACACTCACAAAGTCCGGATGAGTTTTAGCGTGCAATCCAAAGGCGAGCAGTTTGGCCGTCTCGCTATCACATACCTTGGAGACTACCAAGTACAGTATTCCGAACTTCGGCTGCGGAACCCACACGACCCTGTGAAAAATATATCCGCATATATGACATCGTGGAAGACTCTACAAGAGCTGACATTCGAGTTGCTGATCATACAACTGCTAATCAGACTGGCACGTACAACACTACTTTGACAGTTACATACCTCACTGTTATGAGTACTCGGACAAGCACATCTATCCCTGGTCCTACAGATATAAGCATTCCTATATCTTCTTGAAAGGGTCTTTCAATACCTCCTCCTCACCCTTGTTCATCGTCCCTTCAATCAACACCACCAACACGATTTTTCTTCCTCGCAATGCTGCACGTGCTGTTTTCCCCCTCTCCTCTATCTGTTAAGGCAACGAAGAATTTCGGTGGTTCAACTATCTACAATCCGATATTCTCGCCTTTGATCCTGGGGTGCCTATATTTTTGGATTTTTTCGAGAAGTGCAATTTCTTATCAATGGACAAACAGCTTTCATTCAATGACCTTTCCCTTGAAATTTCCCTGGGGTATTTCGTCTTATTGTGGAGTCCGGTTGTGAGGATTGATGGGTTTGATTTGAAGGTTAAGGAGTATGGGATTGGCATTACACTTTAGTTGTCGAGGTTATGCGATGGAGATATTTAGATATTTAATATAAAAGTTTTTGGATTAGAGGATTATGGAAAGAACGGGGCTGTTGTGTCGGAAACGGAGGGTTCTAGTTGGGTGGTCACAGGAATTGGAAATGTGTTTATGTAGTTGGGTGAAGAGGGAAGTAACTCGAGTATCGCGACGGGAAGTGAAATATGTGTAGATGAGAAACCTACTACGACTGGGGTATCTCAATCATTTACTAGAAAATCAACTGTAGCAGATGAAATATTGACATAGACGATTTCCATACAGCGAATGCTCGCAAATTCATCCACGGTCAAAACTCAAAAGTAGCAGCCAAACTGCATATAGACTTAAACACTCACTCACAGTCTCACGCAGGTCAAAGACAATTTCTCAATTTCGGCAACACAAGATGTATCAGATCTCCACAAATGGAACAGGTACATCCTCCAGACCAACCTTTTACTCAAATATATATTCCCATTCCCTGTCCCCTATCCCCTATACCCAACACCACAGGTCCACAGCCGCCTTACACCCACAACAAAAACGTAATCTTACCATTCATTCATCCCTGATATCCGCCTATCCAACAATATCGCCGTATTGTAACAGACACATCTACACATCCATTTTTGCATCGCCTCTTAAGCATTCACCACATACCGGTCGGTATCTCAAGAATTCCGTATTAGTATCAGGATTCAGATACAGCTGGTAGAGTAGATATCACCACACCACATCACATCACATGATACTGCGACGTTACATTCGGTATCATTCCGAGTATATAGATGTAAACTTTATATAATTATAGAAGTACATTGTAAGAAATATCAATACTATTAGAAGCGATGGGTAGAGATTGTTTTTTGGGAATATAATCGAATATATAGTCAGATATAGAGCTGTATTTGGGATTAATCGAGTATAAGCAATGATATAGAGAAATTAGTCAGTAAACAAGCAACTTACAGTATAATATAATATAATACTCGAGTATAACAACAAAATAAACAACATTCCACTACTAGCAAAACCTGAAATATCCTGCTAGATAGACCCAGAATCTTGTACTCGTACAGTAAAGAATACTCGCTAATAAAAACAACAGGTACATGTAGATTCGATCGAGGTAATTCTATTGCGAATACTAATACTAAATCTTACTATACAATAAAATATATAATTAAATAACATCTTAAGGTTAACTTACCTAGTACTTATTAATTTTATACTACTCTACTCTACAATAATCTCGCAATAATCTCACATAAATTTCCATAATCTCATAATCTCATAATCTCATACAAGGTTACATAATTATACACATACATACATATATAAATATCAAATATTTCCCATCCCATCCCATACCATCCCATCCTCCCATCCTCTCATTCTCTCATCCTCAATACTTTACTTCGCTTGCATGCAGCTTCACATACACAGAGAGAGAAGTGATCCATAGTTCTCACCTAGTCAAAAAAGTTCCCGCAAAGCCTTTTCTTTATTTATACACTACTCGAGTACAGGTTTCAAGTTTCCAGTTTCAAGTTTAGGAGAAGAGGGAAGAAAAAGAAGAAGATCTACTCGAGTACATAGCAGACATCGATATCAAAATCGACATTAATATCAACATCAAGATCTTGATATACCAAATTCCAAATTCTCAAAGCACAAACTATATTATATTATAAACCATAAATACATATATACATACCAATCAATACCAATATCAATCCTTCAATCCTTCAAATTTAAAAAAATATATATATATAAAAAGTTCTCAAGTAAATCCCATCCATCTCCCATCATGATATCCTCGAGTAGTCACTAGTCACTAGTCACTAGTCACTAGTCACTAGTCTATCTCTATCTCTATCTCTATCTCTATCAGAAGAGTTTAGTTAATTAATTAATTAGTTAGTTAGTTAATTAGTTAATTAATTAATCAATTACCTACGCAGGTTATGCGAGTGAAATGAAGTGAGATAAAGAATAGGCATAGAGAGATACTGATAGGTAGTAGATAGATAGATAGATAGATAGGTACATTAGAGTTTTTATATATAAAAAGCTAAAAACGAAAAACTAAAAGAATATATACTCAAGTACTCGAGTAGACCTTTAGAAGATTAGTAAAATAATAATAATACTCAGTATTTAGTACTTAGCACTTAGTATTGAGAATTTAATATACGAGTAGATACGAGTAGATATTGAAGAAGAAGAATAATAAGTTTTGATGATTATTTGTGGGATATGCGAGAATATTCGAAGCTAGCTAGATTGTATGGTCTCGAGTCATGTTCTCGAGTATGATATATATATATGTAGCAAAATTTAGCACCATGTGCTCCCTTATTATGCTATAGCTTCCCGTATATATCTATAATAGACCCGTTCCTAATTTCTGGAATAACTGATTCAGCACTGATTACCGTTTTTCCTTCCCTTCCATCCCTTGATATAACTTTATAATTTTCAAGCAAACACCCACCCACCACCTATAGCATCCCTTCCCTTCCCTTCCATATATAACTTCCAAGCAAATACTCATCACCCGTCACCCATAACATCCCTTCCCTCCCTTCCCCCCTTCCCCTTCCTTTATCTACTCCATCAACCATCAACCACCAAACCCCAAACCCCAAACCCCAATCCCCTCCCCATTCCCCAATCCCCCACCCCATCAAATCTCAAACCTCAACCCCCAAACCTCTCCCTCAAAAGCCTCCCCAGGCTTCCTCCATCCTTACAATACCCCGCAATACCGATTGATTTTTCCGCCCATCGCTTACACGCTACATCTTGATCTGCACTGTAGAGATCTATTGAGTGATTGAAAGATTTCGTTGCTAGCCAGTCGAGTTCTTGTGTTGGGTAGGGGATTTCGGTCTTTTTTGTTGTTTTTATCAAAGGTTAGCGAGTGGTTTTGTGGAGATGAAGATTAGGAGGGGAAGTGGATGTATAAGAGGTGAAAAAGATCCTTATGAAAAGACAGCGAGAGGGTATCGAAACAAAAAAGTCCGAGGAAAAGAACCAACATACCTCAGCAGCATCAGCAGCAAGTATACAGACTTGATCAACCAGTTCTTCAGCAATCATATCATCATTTCCCAACGCTGCCTGAAATAAACAACGCATATATTTAGACAATTTGATCATATCAAACTCTTCCATTTCCCAAGTTCGATTGACGATTTTCTTCAGGGTCATGACTAGGACTATGGTATGAGACAGATGTGTTAGCTTATCTTATATCTCTCAAGTATATAGAAGAGGAGATGAGGAGAAGATGAGAAAAGGAAAGATGAGAGAAAAAAGGGGTAGGGATAAGAAAACAAACCTTGCATAGGAGTCTCACAGCTCAAAATACAATCTGCCATCAACTCATAAACCTTCATACTCTTGCACACACCCGCCTTCAAAATAATCTCCCCTAGACTATCCCAGTCCTTGAGTCTACAAGCAGCCTCAAAATCAAATGCCAGAAGAACCGACAATTTCTGCAATAGATCATCGGTAATATCCTTTTCTAGCTTCTCCAGTTTCTCTTGTAACAAATGATTGAAACTAGTGACATGTTTTCTCAAATTAAGATAAAATTGCAATTGCTCTTCTGTATTCTGTTCGGCTCTTGCAATCGAAACGAATATTGTCGCAGCACAGAAGTTGCAGAACATTTTCCGGAGCGTGACGTCGTCGTGTGCATCTTCGCCAATATCTTGAGGATAATGATCGATGAAACCGATGCAGCAGGCGAGCATTCGGAGAGTTTGTTGAGGCTCCCAAATCGAGAGATTCTTGAGAGATAGATTGTAGGAGTTTCGGGAAAACCATTCTAGTTCGAGGATGGTCCAAATTTCGCGATTGGGAGATTTTTGTGCAGCATTTAATGCTGCGATGATTAATAAGGCTTCTTGTGGGAGTGGGAGAAAACTCCGAATGACTCACCTCCTTCGAAAAGTTTACACAACCTCCCTATGCCCTCTTTGTGATCAGTAGCCGGAGATTCTTCGCTCTCAATGACACTTATAAGCAGAATTATGATCGTCCTAATAATCGATGGAAGATGCAAATTCTCCTGTGTACCATACTCATACTTGTCTAGGACCAACCAAAGAGCCTCCAAGACATTATTCTTATTGCCAGCTTTCTTAGCATCAAGAACACACGCGAATAGTAACGTTGAATCTTCGGAGCATGAGGCGATCTTTTCGAGACATTCTGCAGCTAATTCAACTTCTTGGCTCCTAATTGCGATTTTGTACATGAGAAATCGTGTCAGCGGCTCTTCTTTTGCCATATCAGACATTGACCCGAAAACTTCGTGGGCAGAATTGATGTCTCCTCGACCGAGGGCACATAGAAGAAGTTTTCTATCAATAAGTGAGTATAAGAGTATTGATCAGACGAAAAAAAGTACAAACCGTGATATCTTAGCCATATTTGCCTCTCCAGGCTTCTCAAACAACTTATGCATAGCGAGACGACACCATTTCTCAGCCGCTTCATACTGTTGCAGACCATAAGTTGCCTCTATCTTTTTCCAAATTAACTATAATCCATTAGCATTCCATCCATCCATACAACTTCGAGTAATCACAAACCGTATGAGCAGCCATGGTCGGCTCTACACTGATAGAATTTTCAACATTCTCCGCAATCACTGTAAGAAATCCTTCAACGGCAATAAACAACTCTTCAGTATCTCTGCCACTAACAGTCATCCAGATCCTTGTGAGAATAGCCTTCTCGAGCCACTCTTTCATAACTGCTAATTCCTTGACACGTAATCTGATCATCTCATCCAGTACCCCGCATGCCAAACTTGGTGCTTTGTCATGGAGTTTCCTAACATGGAACATAAATAATCGTAAGTTCCTTGGATTCATGACCAATGTCCTGGTCATCTTGTTCAAAATAGCGCTGTATGCCGAACCATCGAAAGTTTCGTTTGAAATCTCTGTCAGAAGTTCCAATTTCAATAGAAGAACAATCAATTTATCTCCAAGTTCACTCTCAAGAAGATCGACCAAGTCTTGTGCCCGTTGTATTGACTCTGCAGTTTTCGTTTCTAAAAGTGCCTTGATGAGCGTTTCGATGATAGATATCCGTAGCTCCGTAGCATCCGCGCTCAGTTTGTCCAACTCATCGCTACTGAGGACATCGTAGGCACGTTCTAGCCATTTTACTGCGAGTGTATGCTGTTTCTTCATGAGTAGTGCCCTCCCCATATCATATAAGGTATCCGAGAGGCTTTCCGTAGTGTCATGATCGAAGAAATGTTTAGAAGAAACGGTTTTATTAAACATGTGTTCAGCGAGTTGCATATCATCTTGTCTCCATGCCTAAAATGTAGGTTAGCAGGTATGTAGGTCAGAAGTATTATAATATTACTAATATGGTCCTAAGAACGAAGTACTCAGCAGTAAATCTCGCACAGGTTGCTTTTTCTTCCGGTGTGCCAGATGTTTCATATGTGTGAAGAAGCCCTTCACTATACCCCGCAAGTTTCTCTAATACCTTGACGGCGTAGTCGATCTTCTCTTCGTCTGTTCAGCACACAATGATCAGCAACCAGTTCGCAGATTCCAAGTCTCCTCCCTCGAGCATAGGAAGTTGCACATACTGAAGCAATCTCGTACAGTCTTAATTCCCACCTTCATCAATCTCAACATATTTCCCCTCGCCTTCTCCCCTTTCTCATTATCCTTATCCTTACCGGAACCCAAGTGTAGATATCCCCCAGCATTTCCACACTCATTGGCACAATCCAGAACCAGAAAAGCAAACATCCTAACCATGACCAACACACTCCTAAGCTCATTCCTCTTCTCCCAAGCCTTATAATATATCGCGGCCTCATCACCTCCCTCCTCATCATTCTCCCCAGGAAGACTCCTCTTTAACCTCGACCCAAGATTCCAAATATTCGCCGCCTTTTCATCCAATTCCTGTGCTTTATTCCTGGCACTCGCACTTAGTTTCGTCGGAAATGTCGCGATATTATTTTTGAGCTCTTTGAACGTTCCATTTCCATCAATCGTTGTAAAAGCAAAGTTGAAAACATCCCGGCTGAAACTTGCATCTAGACAATTGAGATCATTTTCGAGTGTATGCGTGAATACTGCATATCGGAAGAGAAGTTCATTAGAACTGAATGCAGAGAGAAAGGAAGGAAACTTGCACCGTTTCCAAAGATACTCTCGCACCTGAAATCTGGAGAAATAAAAAACCAAAACATCAAACTCACCAAGTAAACCCCTCAACCTCTTATCCTTCACATTGATAGCATTTGCCCCATCTCCATTCCCATGCGCATCCGCATGTCTCATTCCATTCAACCTCTCACCTTCACCCCTCAAAGCTTGACCGTGTAGCTGTCGTGCAACACCAGCCCGTGTAGTATCTTCCGCCATGGTACCCCCTTCACAATTTTCGTTTTCGTCTTCTCTTTTCTTCTTTTTTCTTCGTCCCTCTTCTCAAGTTTCTCAAATGTCACTCTAGGAAATGAATACGAAAAAGAGGAGATTGTTTGATCAAAGCTCAAATCGGGCGTAATACAAACTCAGCACCTCCTCACTTGGTTGAATAATGATAGGTATTCGACTCAGAAAATAAAGTTATAAAAGAGAATGTTCATTCAAGCCGCTACTTGGCAGCATTCTTTTCTTGTCGTCAAAATACTTATGATAAGAGGGATTGATGAAAATTAATGAAATGTTGAAAGGTGAAGCTTTTGATGGCTCTGCGAAATTTACACATTTGAGATACGGTCATTCATTTTTACCGACACTCCAACCAAAAAACTCCCCCCCTCCCCCCACCGCCGCCAACCAACCAACCATCCACGGAACTTCTCCTCGCTCCCACCCCCTTTCCTATCCATTTCCTAAAAGAAGAAGATTGCATTCCGTTCTTAAAACTTGCAGTTCCAATCACACGTATGTACGTACTCATCTAATAAATACCAGAGAAGTTGTTTTACTTATTTCTCGGTCTTTCATTCTTGCCTCCCATGTTTCCGAATATCACCGCTTGATAGGATCTTGAGGTAAGAAATTTCCAACGATTAGGGAAGGGCTATTTGGAATAATTGTTAGTTGTTGGTCTTAAGACTGCTCTCCATCCCATTCGTATTTATTTCCATTTCTTCCTCATTCTCCTTGACTATTATCCCCCCAACACCCCCTCTGAAATGAAAAATGGAAAAAGAAGACTCACATCTTATGATCATCCCTCCGTACGTTAAATGAAAAACAACATTTAATCGTCGGATCCTTACTCTTATCATCCGGATTCTTCAAAGAACAACTCGTCAAAAGTGCTTTCTGACCCACTTCAAAAGCTATCGCTCCAAACTTCTCCCAATACTTAACGAGGGATTCTTCCGTTAAGATTTCGTGGAGCGCTATTTTACCCTATTCATAGAAAATTTCAGCTGTTAGAAGTAGTTCGGAAGATGGAAAAGCCACAATTTGTAGTATCCTGCGAAAGTGTGTTTGCCAAGAGCGTTTGAGTGCAAGTGTGAGCGGAAAAAAAGGAAGTCTTGAATACAACTTACATCCCGTAATTTCTCAACAGGAACATGTATCAACTCAGCCATCTCCTTGTTCCCCCTAAAAATCTCTCCCGTTCTTCTCCAACAACAAGCGGGAATCGCCATACTCGCAAAAACCCGATCATATTCCATCAAACTCCTTTCAAACCACATCTCCACGTAGATGAGTTCGATATCCGTCAAAGCTTGCACCTTCTCCCTGAACTTCGGTCTGAAACGATCCAGCTGCCGGAGTATTTTTTGCTTCGAAGCCGGTTGCATATGACCATCCATGTAAGCCGAAAGTCTCGCATACCCCTTCACGTAATTGAAGGGCTTCAACATTCCGGCGTCGTACTTTGCCCTCAATAATAGTTGCATTCTAACTTCGGGGACATCGTTACCAGTGGGATCGGCCGCTTGAAGGTAGTACTCGCGGGCTTTATCAATTGGTATGACGCTCGCTGGTCTCGAAATCGAGCTTCCCGCTGGATTTAAACCTGCTGGTGGACCACTGCCTGAAGCTTGTTGCGCTCCTGATGTGAGCGTGTTGGAATTGCCTCCTGATAACATTGAACCAGCTTGATCAGTATAAAAATTCGAAGTGTCTTCTGTACCTAGAGCTCCGTCGTCTAGAAGACTATTATTGAGGAAATCGTTCAAAAGATTGTACTCGTTGGTGACTTCCGGTGCGTTGAACATGTACGATGGATGGTAGTTATGCATATCTGAAAATTGGTTTTGCGACCCAAGCCAGTCATTTGGATACCCAAGAACTATAACGAAAAGAGATTAATACGTGCCCAATATTTCAGAGTAATCTCGGAGACATAAAAAGAAAACTAGGAGAATATAGAGCATCATACATTGATTGTTGCTGCTACTATTCAAAGCATTCGCTTGTATTCCAGAAACCGGTGTAGGCTGGACTAGCTGAAGAGGGACACCGCGGGATATTGCTGGTGCTCCAAGACTCAGTTCGTTTTCTTGAACTTGATCTTGACCTTGTTGTAGTTGTTGTTGTTGTTGCTGTTGTTCCGCGGTAACAAACGAGTTATTTAGACTATCGTCTAGGGGATTTTGGAGCTTAAGATCTGGCGGTGTCCCTCCCAACTCTTCCGCTGTTCCTGCTGTAGCGTTGTTGTTGTGGTGATGCTGCTGACTCTTCGCCGCTGCTTTCTTCGTGGTCGACTCCGGTTCGCGGGGCTCATCATGACAAAGATGCCCAATTCCACGCTTTGTGCACCTCGCGCAAGGTCGTACTAAATCGCATGTCATGTGCTGCTCAGGGAAAATACCGAATTAGCTGCTGGCCACTGACATTTCAATGTCACGCATAACGGTATGCAATCACCCGTCCAACCCCCTTGTAGTATGTATGACCCAATCGAGTACTCACAGATCGCCGACAGTATACACAAGCTGCAGAAGACGTTCCACGATTAGCCAATGTTTCAGATCATGTAATTCAAACTTGGAAGTCGTTGGTTCCCTTGGGAAACTTTTGCATACCATGATTAACTTTACGCCTCTTCTTTGGGCTCTTGTTTGCGCCAGCAGCTGCAGATGATGCCGGTGGCTTTGCATCCTGCCCATTGTTGGGTCCATTTTGTTCCATGGCATCAGAGCCTAAGTTTCATAGGGTTCCATTGGATTGCAACGCTGCGCTGGTCGTTATTGAGGGGTGGGCGAGACTTTTGACTTCGTTGTGAATAATTTGCGAATTGGGAAGATCTTTCAGCTTGGTCAGCTCAATTCACTACTCATCACACAAGAATGAAATTTACCTTGTATTAATTGATTATTAAAGTAATCTAGTACTCCTTCAAATTGTTGAATCAATTTGTGTTGCAAGAATTTGACTTATCAGAGTTATTGATTTGACGTGTAGAACGCGGGGGCGACGGCCAATACTGCAAATTTCATCGTGAAGCGAGGTTGATCAAGGGTGGTCTAGTACCGGTAGATATCTACTTTGGTACAAAGAACAATGAAATGTCGATCGTTGTTACTACATACATCAATGATGAGTGAGTGAATTATGGGTATCTAATACAATATTCATGAAGCCGATAGCCATACAACACATATTAATTCCTGGTGGAATGTCCTTTGCCACCTTAAACATGTAATCCCGCTTTCCTCACACCAAAACCGTTATGTCTCGCATCAATCAACGTCCGGAAGTCTTTTAACCCAGAATCACATCATTGTACTGTTCGAGATCGAGATGACCGAAGAGAGCAGCTTGTACAGAAGCTTTACTCTTGGCCATAGCTTCAGAAATTCCTTCAATCTGTTGTAAATTGCCTTTGATACTGTCCACGTGACCATTGATGCTTTTGACAATACCTTCAAGATCCTGGTATTTTGACGTCTGGAGAAGATATCAGTTGTGCAAGAGGTTCGCGAATCAAAGGAGCTTACATTGAGAGTTATCGAAGAGGTGACTGCGTCCTCATCAATGCCAATATTGTCATTGATTTCCTTTTGAGTGCTGTCAACCTCGAATTGAAGCAATGTATGAGCCTTGCGAGCGGCTTGCCTTCTACTCGTTGCTTCATCCTTTGCGTTTGCCTCCAATTCCGCAAGGTACTTCTCCTCATTCTCGAGTAATATCTCCTCTGTCCTCAATTCGGATTCCAAAAGATCATTTGAATGCAAAACCGGTGTAAGTTGAGCTTCCAAAACTCGATTGTAGTCCAGTATCTTCTCAAAATCAAAATCATCCTCCCGATTAGTTCTTGTACCTTTAGGAAATGACATACCCTTGCGAATCCTGTTCAAAAGCCGACGGCCTATCATTTGTATAGCTGTACTGGCTTGAGTCTTCTTGCGTTCATCGTGAATCTGCAAGACAACTGGTCTTTGCACATCAATCAATAATTCCGAAATTTTATCCAAGCATCCTGATGGTAATGGCTCCCATTTCGTGTTGATAGTCTCATGAGATACACGGCGAGTAACTGCTGCTATATGTCGGTACGAAGGCGGGTTTGACTGTTCCGTCTGGGTTCGATCATCTTCCAAATCATGCATACGGCGACGTTTGTTTTGTGGTTGTGATTGCTGGTCGTCAGGATTCGAATCCTTCCGCTTTCTTGTGGACTCAGAGCTATCCGACGGTTGGGATTTCTTAACTTTGGATTGTCCAGGATCTGGTTCGACAACCTGTGGTACATCTGATATTCTGACACGCTTCTTTGGCTTCGAATGCTTCTCGGATGCTTCTTCGATGTTTTGTACAGCCTTCTTCATTGTACGACCTAGTGCCGAACTTTTAGACCCTGCCTGATCGTGCCTCTTTGATCGCGAGGACTCGCCTTTTTCCGGCTCAATGCGGTCCCGGGTTTTGTCCTTCGTCCTTTTCTCTTGATTGTTTGTAGAAGACAATACCTCGTTTTCTTTATCAATAGTATCACCTGCCTTCGCTCTTCTTGTACCTTTGGCATTTGGTCTTGCCGTCACTGGCGCTTCGTTTGCCGCGTTTTGCCCTGCATGGGTGACAACTCCTACAGCAGGTCTACCTCTCTTCTTAGGTGCCAAAGAACTAACCGCCGTCACTGTCTCCATCTCAATGATATCGTTATGTCTGCTCCCACTCAATATTCCTCTCCTGGTATGTGTATTGTTCCTTCTTCCCTTCATCTCGGTCTTTGCTTTCGAAACCTCAGCTTCAGCTTCCCTCTCAATATTATTATCATTTCCCCCATTTTGTTTCGCAGTCGTAGAACCCGAAGCCAAAGATGGTCTTCCGCTCCTCTTCTTCTCCTTCTCACTCGGTATACCCGTGCCGGTTGGTATCCAAGGCCTCGCCTCCTTTGTATTTCCCACACCGATTATATTTGTATTCGTATTTGACCTTTGACTTTGACATTGATTTTGTGATTGTGATTGTGATTGTGATTGTGAATGTGCCGGAATCTGACTCCTGCCATCCACCTGGCCAATTCCATTTTCAATTCCATTCTCATTTCCATCTTCATTATCCTGCACCTCCCACCAATTCGATGGTCGCGATCTCCTACGCTTTCCTCCCTCTGCCATAATTATTGCTTCGTTTCATTTCTCTCCTTTCCTTTCCTTTCCTTTCCTTTTCTTTTCTTTTCGTTTTATTATTATCGTATCGTGTCGTATCGAGTCGTCGTATCGTATCGTGTCGTACCGTATTATATCGTTCGCGACCTTCCAACCCTAGATAGCTCAACCCAATCAACCAACCAATCAGCTTCTCCCTGCACCCTCCCAAAAACTAATGTTGCACGTCTACAGCACCCCCCAACTAACACAAATTTACCCAAACTACAATTTTTCTCACAGAATCCTCATCCCCCAAATCTTGCGATTTCAAAAAAAACTATCCCGGGGATTTTGTAAGAAAATTGGACAATCCTAGGCCCCAAGCGTTTTGATTTCTACACAGGCAAAATCGCGTGAAATCGCGTACATAAATATGCACGGACCATTTGATCAGTTTGAACTGCCTCGGCAACTTTTGGGGTTGAATTTTGACCTTGGTGGACGCGCCGACGTGTGAGGGTGAAGTGAATTTTGGTTTGGGTTGGGATGATCATTCACTTATACATTTGAGTGAATAAATTCAAGATTGTTACTTCACTAGATATATCATCTCATTTGATGGGATTCTCGGATTTCAAACTCTTATAACTACTCGAGTACTGATCAAAATATATCTCATGATTATCGTTCAGCCCCATCAGTCTACTCTGAACTCAGTCTTTCTTTTCAACCCCGTCAGTTTACAATAGGACGGATAGAATATTCAAAAACAGATTTTCATTCAATTGATATCCATAACTCTATACAAATGCTATTTATTTGATTCATTCATTACCCGTCCTTCGTTATCTTGCTACTCAAATAACAACCAACACCTATCTTCTCGGATGGCCATTTCCCCTACCTCTTCCCCTCGGACTTTTCACTACTCTTCCAGCGCCTCCACCACTCTCACCACGTCTCTTATCCTCACCCAGGCCTCTTCTCCCACTATTGGAACCCCCTCTTGCACCACCCCTACCACCTCCTCTACCTCTGTCCCCACCCCTACCTCTATCTCCTCCTCTCCCTCTGTCTCCACCTCTACCTCTATCTCCACCTCTTCCACCCCTCCCTCTTCCTCTACTATCCCTATCCCTATCCCCACCAATACTCTTCTTGACAGTCTTAACCTCATCCTCATCAACATCCATCTCATCATCCTCATCTTGGCCCTTGCGGTTACTAAACTTAAGTTTTCCGCCCCTGCCCTTTTTCGGTGCATCTCTTCCTTTCAACGCGTGTACATAAGCACCCACACCACCGTCTTCGTCTGCTGGTGTATCGATAACCATTGGATCATCTTCATCATCACTATCATTGCCTCCGAACAATAATTTTCCATCCAAATCCATCTTTGCTTTGGTTTTTGTGATCGTTCTTGCTTTTGCGGGTTTGGTGGATGAGATATTGCCGAGTGCTTTACGATCGAGTAAATCAAGTGGTTCGTCGTCATCTTCCACGATATACGTGTTTCCACCCGCGCCCTTCTTCCCGCCCTTCTGTCGAGATTTACCCAGGACTTCATCATCGGAGTCATCAGAACCAGAAGATTCGGAATCACTTCCGTGAAGAGCTTCATCATATTCATTCTCAAATCTGTTTCTCCTCTTTCCACCAGTCTCTTCCTCATCACTTTCCTCGCCCGCTTCCTTGGCCGCTTCCTTGTTCCTCTTTCTTCTCTCGCGTGTCTTGCGGATATTGGTTATCAGCTTTTTGTCTTCTTCCGGACAATGTTTATTTACGATATCAACGCCAAAACGACGAATCATACGCTCGAGAATGTGCTTGACCTTTGCCTTGAAGTGAGCTTTATGCTCGTGACTCCAAACCATGAGATTAGGAACGAGACTTTCCAGGCGAGGAAGTACAAGAGAAGTAGGTAATGAAATGACGCAAACTTTCACGAAGCCAAGGACACTGCGAACGATTTCGCGGTTGTTGGATGTGAGGAAGAGGTCCATAGTTTGAACAAGATCGCTCACGGTTTCGGGAGATAGGGAGTCACGGAAATTGTAAAGGATACGGGTGAGAGCTGTGATAGATGCGGATACCATGTGGGGTGTGCTACCGGCAAGACCGGCACTGACCATGGTGAAATATTCTTCGAGGGTGGCGGTAACAGCTGGGGCATCGTCGGGCATGTGGGATACCTTACTGTTATCGATTATGGCGCCGTGTGATGAAGCAATCTTCTCTCCCATTAAGATGAGGAGATCAAATGCAGTAGTTCTAGCACGCTCATTCGTTTCCTTGCACGAAATGACGACCTCTGATAGAATTGCCGGAATGAAGTGAAGAGAGTCGGCAGGGAGGAAAGGAATAAGAACGGAGATCGCAGAAAGACGATCACGTTTTGCGGGTGTGGATACCTTCTCGGCACTGTTCAAGAGAAGCGCTTGAAGATCAGTGCTACGGTCTTGTAATGCCGCCTTGCCGGTTTCAGACTCAGCAAGTCGAGGAATAAGCTTGTAAGCCTTCTTCTGAAGTTGCGGGTCGTCATCTTTCACAATGATGAGAGCTGCCATGTTGAAAAGAGTGCTGAAACTATCTCTTGGCAAGTAAATGGAGATTGTAATGACCAGGTCCATGAGACTGTGACTAGTTGGAGGCATCTTATTAGTAGCATTTTGTTGCTTTTGCCTCTGCTTCTCTGCTTGGGTTTGAGCACCGGCTTCGGCAAGCGATGTTCCTAATGCTTCACTGACTCGTTCGAATGTCTCCATAAGCTCTGAAGCAGGGGTAATGCTAAGGAATGCGTTGATACACTGCAAAATGTGAGCCCTGAATTGTGGCAATGTTTCATTATAGACATTGAACAACACAGCAAGCATGTTGCTCGAGAAACCAGCCAAGTGCTCAATGTTCTTCTGCGCGGCGGCTTTCGAGACACGACTCTGGAGGAGCAAATTTTCATCTCCTTCAATTGCAATGATCGCCCGGTTAGACTCTACTAAAGTTTGTAGAGCTCTACAAACATCTGAACGTAGATCGACTTGCCCGTATAGAATGTCTACAAGTATTTTTGCAAACTCCACATCAAAAGCTTCAGTGAGATCCAGCGGGAGATCACAATAACCAGGAAGGATTGCCCAGATTTGCTTCACAATAGTCTCAAAGATCTTGATATCCATCGTCTTCTCGGCAGCTCCATGCTGGCCAACTCGTTGGATCATTGCTTCGCTCAATGGCACAAATTCGGTTCGGAAATGTTGAAGATTCGTGTTGCTGACGTAGTCGCGCAGGATAGGTAACATCCAAGCTCGTCCAGGTAATCCAGCCTTTGGCTTAGCGAGATTGAGGGGTAAGATACTAAGAACGCTTTCTGGTCCCATAGCTCTGATAGCTTTTCCAAGGATTTCGTCTGCTTCCTTCTTACCAGCGAAGGACTCGCTACCTCTAAGCTCGCCAATCGTTCGCACGACTTCAGACAAGATTGGATCCGCTCTCCATCTCAGAGCGTCAAACATAGCACCCATAACATTGAACGTCTCCATCCAAGCAGCTTGATACTTGACACTCAAGAGATCAACTGCACACTTTGCCAACTTCTCAAGGATCTTGTCATCAAAAATAGACGGCTCCACAATGACTGATTCAGGGACACAATTCGCCATTAACGAAATCAGACATTCCGATGATGAGACTCGAATGTTGTGTGATGAGGATGACATAAATCCAGAAATCATTGTGAAAAGTTCAGGTAACTTTGCGAAAGTCTCCTCGGGTTCGAGTTGCGCAGAAACATCATAACCCCGCGATAGTACAGCAATCCAAGGAGGAAGGAGTTGAGAATCATTTTGAGAAGGTCTCAATTCAGAGATAACTTCTAAAAGTCGAGGTAATTTGGATGTCGCAGTATCGTTTGCCATACCCTCAAATATCATCTCAAACACTTCAAAAGATGTCATGGCCAAATATTCATTGCTCGATTTCGAGATGTTCAACAAAACTTCGCACAACGACTCAATCTTCTTACTTGGCCATCCCCCGGATGCTCCTGCAACAGCCCTAACTAACTGCAATGCGTGAATTAAAGCCGGTTCATGTTCTGCTGCTGCGCTGGCTTTTCTCTGCTTTCTAGCTTGCTGCGATTGAGCCGCAAGTTCATTTAAATTTTTCAATGCAGTTTCTGCACACATATCCGCGGCAGGATGATCGAGAGATGGACTTGGTGGTGGATTCTTTAAGACATTTGCAAGAGCTTCTTGCGCACGCTTTCTAATCTTAGGTCTGTGATCCACGGCCAAATTCAATAATCCAGCAATCGCCCTTCTTGGTCCAATTTCTGTGACTGAGAGTTCCCATGCTGCGGAATCTTGTGCGACTAATAATGATTCGAGACATCCTATCGAGGGTCTGAGGAGAGGAGCATCTGCATCTGGTAATATGAGGGCGGGGGCGAGATTTGTAAGGATTTGAGAGAATTTCGATCGGAGGAGTGGTTGAGGGGTAAAAGGTGTGATAACGTCGAGTAGATATACCACAGAAGTTGTTAAATCTTTGTTAACTTCTCCATTTTGAGGTATCGATTGTCTTAAGAGGGCCAATAATGCCGCAAAATAACCAGTTGGAGTTGCTTCTGTTTTTTGATCTTTAAGTGTATCTTCCACGGCAGACAATACAATTGCAGTCTACATTTTGATATCAGTAAAGTTCACCACGAATTAATCGAGGAATTCAAGATTGAAAACTCATTTAACATACCTGACGTTGATTTTGAAGCTTCGGCGATCGTATCTTGTCGAGCTTTTCTTGTAAAGACATTTCGAAAGACATCTTAATTGCTCTTTGCGCCTTTACTTCAATGAGATTTTTCCAAATTGCTTCAGATTAAAAAAAAAGTTTCTGATAATCGATAGCGATCAGACAGACCATGAATGCAAAGTTCCCCGTAGTTAGCGAGTTCTCGATAAAACTCCAAAGCTCCTCCAACTTTTAGTGCCAATACCGAAGGAGATTAGTAGTAATCAAAACAGGGGTATGGATCATCTATGATTGGTTACAACACCTCATGTTCCTCGTCCCATCGTCGAAAGAATGCTGTGGAGCTTTCTTTGGAGTGAAAGTCCAAAAAGTACTAGGTATCCATTATTATTATTTCTATCAACCACCCATCTGGCCTCATCTTTATTCTTCATCATTGTCACGGTATAATCTTTAGTTTCAGTTATATTCCATAACATATATCTCATCTCTGATTTTCCAGATTTGATTTATTCAGCTTATTCGAGAAATTGTTATCGCGGCGCATTCAATTTATTGTTGCCAATCAAAGCACTTCCTACGGCCTAATCGCAGAGCTTCCTAGTCAAAAACTTGCTTGAAGACTCTTTACATCTCCGACAATCTTCAAAACTTCAATCAACACATTTCGTCATCCTTTCGATTAGATAACCGCCAAAATGCGCATCTCAACCATATCTCTCCTCGCTCTCCCCCTCCTCGTCTCAGCCCAAGAATCTCCCCTCGACCAAGCCAAAGCTCAAGCCCAATACTGGTTCGGCAAACTCCAATCCTACATCCCTTCCCCCTCATCCACCACGCCCCTCGAAACCTCTGTCCTAAAAGTCGGCTCCGCAAAGATTCACCACCTAACACTCGACACCTGGCACGACACCATCCGCGGCAGCGTCAACCCAGAGTCCTCCTCGCTCCCTCAAGAATGGTGGGTCCTAACCACCGGCGGAAACAAAACCTGTTTTGGACTCTGCGACAATGTCGAACGAGCATTCAATGAATCCGCCGCTATATTTTCGCTCGATTCAACCGCGCCTGATTTAGCCATCTTGAACTGCGACGAGCAGCCCGTCCTATGTAATTCCTGGGGCGCCGGTCCACCACATTTATGGACAATGGAGGTTGGGGTTCCGGGCTCCCCCGTTCCTATCATCACACTTCCATTGAACACCACTACTACGAATGTGAATACATTCACGAATTTACATGCGACGAAATCATACAAGAAAAAGGCACCTTATGAGGGGTGGTTCCATCCTTTCGACGGACCACTTGCGCAATATGGTGCTGCGGTTCCCGCTGGATATGTACTTTGGTTCTTTTCCGTTGTTCCTAGCTGGATGTTCATGATTGGTATTTCATTCGTGAGCAGAACCATCATGTAAGTCTTTCTTCCATTTCTTCCAACCATCTTGTTCCAAGCACCCTACTAATAGCCATTCTAGGAGCAAGCGAACACAAGGACCAGGTGCAGCTGCCGCTGCTGCTGCTCGTCCTCGTGCTGCTCCTGCTGGAGATGGAGTTGCTTATTAAGAAGCGGATGCCGAAAATGGGGGGTTGTGGTGGATAGCTGAGGAGGGAAGGAGGGAAGGTTCAAATCTCAAATACCATACATGGTTTCAAGGCGAAGGTGGACGGAATGCAATTTACGCAGCTTAACTTAACTGAACAGATCTAATGAATGGAGAAATGGGTATCATCATTATCATAACCTTGCGCCTTGCCAAATCCTTGACATCCCATTCCATGTCATGTCTACCATACCCGTGAACTGTATCCATCAATATATTTCCCTAGGGTATCCCTGACAGAGAACCTACCACAGAACTTACGCGCAGGGCGCCATTGCAGAGTGAGATATTAGTCCTTGGATAGGCACATGTATACCTTTCGTTGATGACGCCAAAGACGATGATCAGCTGGGCTTGCTCCCAAGTATCTTGTATCTTGGGATTTGTATAGCCATCGACCAATAATTCGTAGACCTATTCTCCGTCACACTACTTTCCGCATATGTCTCCATCCATCCACCCACTCATCATTAACACTTCCCTCCCTCACTTCCCCCCCACCCCTCCCTTCCCTCCCGCCGCCCCCTCAACCCTCTCCAACCCCTCCAACACCTGCATACTCAGCCCCGCATTCGCCAACCTCCCATACCGCAAATCACTCAATCCCCCCACCGTATTCTGCATTTCTACCACCAGCTCTTGTGTTTCGATATCGAGTCGTTGGATTTCATCGTCGAGATCTTCGATTGCGGATGCTAGGGATGGGAGGATCGAGTGTAGGGAGTGGGGGTTGGTGGTGGGGAGGTTGGAAAGGGGGGTTTGAGTTAGCTGTGGAGGGGGTGGGTGGTGTTAGTGAGTTGGGGGTTGGAGGTGGGGTTGGGTTGGGGAGCGGGAGCGGGTTGTAGGGGAGATTTGGGAAGGGGGAATTGGGAATTGAAATGGGAGGGTCAACACATACAGCGCGTTCAATTTCCACCTCATCATCCTGCACAACTCTCTCATCCGCTCTTCTTCCCCTCACAACCGCCCTCTCCATAGTTTTTCCGCGCCGTACTTCCCGCTCTATCTCTGTGGTAACGGTATCGACCAATTTTGCGCGTTGGTGCTGGAGATCGCGGTAGAGGGTGCGGATTGCGGGGGAAGATTGTTGGGAGCGGGGGAAGAGGTTGGTGAAGGATTGGAGGGTGATGATTGTAGGGAGGGGGGCGGGGGGAATGAGAAAGATGGTGAGGATTGTGTGTTCGGTTGGTGGCATGGTGGGTGGTGGGTGGTGGGTTTGGGGAGTTGGGGTGAGCGTTGTGCGGGCGGATTGTGAAGGGATTTAGATGGATTTGAGAGTTCGAGAGAGACTATTGGATGCTTGATTTTGACTGGCAGATGCGATCAAGTTGATGCGGAAGAGAGATTCTTGGAAGGTTCCTCTTGCGACTAGTTTATGGAATTAAAATTGGTAGGTTCGGTGAGCGAACGTTGGCGCATTCGTTGGCTTCGACTCTTAGTGGACCAGTCCAGAATTCTGGGAATACTTTTCTGTGATTGCCTTGTCTGCGATGATATCTTGAAGGGAATGGATGCAAAAGTTTAGGGAAAACTTGACGGGAAACTTGAACTAAAGAAGGACAATATAAATTTCTGGATGAAAAATTGTAAAAAATGATCCTAAATGAAACAATAAACCAAAGAAAATGGATTTATCCCCAAATCCTTCAAAAAGATAGAACTCAACTCATGAAGTAACAAAGAAATATGGATCAGTGATACATAACCTGGGGTACATATATTATTAATAAAATATGCGTGATACACACGCACCAATAGACCAAAAGACGCGCTTGCCTAAGTAGGTACACTGAACTGCTTCGGTTGAAACGATTTTCGAATTTCAACCAACTCCCTTTCTATTCTTTCTTCTTCATCAACCACAACATCATCATCATCATCATTTGCACGCGACAAATCTTCTAATTCAACAAAAATTCAACAAAATTCTTATATTATCAACTTCCACCCCTTGGCTACCAATCAATATAACTCAATACAAACCCAACACCAATCATTTCGCTTCCAAAACATTCACATAAAAATACACCCACCCCCCTCTTCCCCCTTCTTCTAATCCAGAAATCATGGCACCATCAAAATCAGGACCACCAGTCGCTCCTTATGCGAAAGATGAAAAAGTTCTTTGCTTTCATCATGATTTATTGTATGAGGCCAAGGTTTTAAATACTAGACCCACGGAAGATGGTTCGAGTTGGCAATGCAAGATTCATTATAAGGGGTGAGAAGTTCTCTAGTTTTGATATTTTGAGTTCCCTAAATAGAAGAAAACGTGTTAACATGATATTTTTTTTAATAGATGGAAATCAACGTAAGTATTAATTTTATGATATTTTAATTTGATTGAGATTTTCCAAATCTTTTCATTTGTTTATTTGATGATATTGAAAAAAGACATTGTGGAGAAGAAGAAGAAGAAGAAGAAGAAGAAGAAGAAAAGAAGTAGAGAGGAAGAGAAGAAAGAATGAAAAAAATGAGAAAGAATGAAGGAACTCATCTTTTAGCTACTTCCAAAGCTGGATAGACAGCGAGATAGTTGAGTCAGTACCTAAACCTAATGAAGGTTGTTGACTTTTTTGGAGTTTTGAGTGCAAATCACAAACTCTCCAAAACATCAACTTTCGAATATATCTACTTGTTTAAGTTCTATGGTATTGTATCATATTGTACAATTTAAACAACAAGTAAAATCACTTCAATTCCCATTTCTCCTTCTCTTATCATCAATTTCATCAAAAATGCCCAGCACTTCCCCTCAAAAGAAACGGCACCTTCGTAGCCGTGTTAGAGCACTAGCACTGGCAGACGCCAATGCCTTGGTCAATGACAATATCCGCAACTCCAAGAAGAAAGAAGAAGAAGAAGAAGAAGCAGAAGAACAATCTAACATTGATGATCAACATAGATGGGACGATTGGGTACCGCAAGATCGAGTAATGAAGTTTAACGAAGATAATAAAGAACTTGCAGCTCAACTATTTCAAGAGATGAAGAAGTTGTATCAAAAGCCAAAATCAGCAACAACAACAACCTCGGCAGGTGGAAAGAAACTTGTTGGTGGAAATCGAACAAATGAATCGGATTTTGGTTCGGGTCGTGGTAGTGAAGAGAGACATGCCAGTGTCGCTGCTCAAGGAGGTGGTGGAAGAGGAGGTCCAAGAAGAAATCGTGATTATGATCTAGAACAAGTAAGTTACTAAACTCATTCTTATTTTATTGACTTCATTTTACTCCCGTTCTACTTACTGTACTGTACTGTACTCATTTTACTCACTCACTCACTCACTCACTCACTCACTCATTTATTCGTACTCATCTATCCTCATCTATCCTCATCTATCCTTATACATCCTCTTCATCCACCCTTATTCCATTTTCCATATTTTTGATCAATGTTTTACTTTAATTCTTTGTGTGTCGTTTTGATATCTCATGATATCATATCTTATCATACTATCATGAATACAGACAAGCTGTCTTGGAAAAGTAAGGTTTCTCGGATTTTCAATCTTCACTTGCCGCTTTCGGAAAATCCTTTCCCTTCTATTGCCAACTTCTTCTCGGCAAATATCTCACAACAATACCGATTTGATTCCATACAATACAACCCATTTCTCAGAATCAATACAACACAATAGAAAATCCTATCTTGCTTTGCATCACACACTTTTCGTTCGCTCTCGATCGCTACAAATATTTGATTGAATTATTTGACTCCGCTCTTGGAATCATACTTTCAAATATTCAATTCCCAAAACTCCTTCTACAATCCTGACAGCAAATTCATCAACGTACAACTTCAAATACCACTTCAAACCTTCTTCAGAGGACTCATTCAAGATGGGTTCTATAATTCCATCAACTGATACACTTTGTCTCAAATCTCCGGCGAAGAAACCCGTCATTTCAATCAAAGCTCCTCGAGATAATTCGGAGAACTCTCCGATTACCAATGTAAGTTCACATCAAAATACTCTCCCCAACAATTCAGTCACTCACAACTGTTCAGGGACGAAAGAGTGTAAAGGCAAAGGTAGCTAAGGCCTTACCTGTAGCACCACTCAGTGTAAGAAGAAGTGAAAGAGTTCCCCGGCCAACGACACACTATCATTCTTCAGTCGTTGATTCTACTGACTTCATGGTCACCAAACCCACGCCAAAGTCAAACATTAACGGGAAGATTTCAAGCTTCGTCGATCCCAAGAGTAAATACTGGGATCCCGTAAAATTTCTCTTGGACGATTCCTTGGTCCCTGTCACCAATCTGGATGCAAAACCCCCCAAGGGGTTTGGATTTATCGTCAACAATGTTCTTCGAGATCCATCCACATATCGACCCGACAAATCCAACCATGTATCCAAACCAAGACAGAAAGCACCCCGAATTCACCCCAGACTCCTAGCTCACATTAAGAATGGTACTGCAACCATGGCAAACCGCCTTTACTATGAAAAATATGAGCCTGGACAAATCAACCCTATTGCTGGACTATTTTCCGAAGATAACCCATTACCTCCTGCACGATTAAAGCGACGCAGACCTCTTCCTCGATCATATGATGAAGTTATCACACAGGAGATTGTCGAGCCTGATTCAAAGAGGATCAAATTCACTTCTGAGAAGAAGTCGAAAAGCCCTCCCAAGAAGGTCTCCGAGAAGGCCACTGAGATTGCAATTGAGAAGAAAGTGCATTTTGAGAAGAAAATTTACCATCGCTCTGAAGTCAGAGAACGACTGGTCAAAACCACTAATAAGATGTTACCGCGCATTGATATTTCGGAACCTGTGATGGAAAAACGTGATTTTAACTATCTACAGGAAGAAAGCTTTCATAATCGACCATCCATCAACCTTGTCATCCCCGATCACATCAAAGCAATTCTCGTCGATGACTGGGAGAATGTCACCAAGGCTCAGCTGCTTGTGCCGTTACCTCACAAGAAATCTGTTAATCAAATTTTGGACGATTGGCTTGAATCGGAAAAACCCAAGCGACCCATCGGAAGCGCTCAAGCAGATATTTTGGAAGAGATCGTCGCTGGGTTAAAGGATTATTTTGAGAAATCCCTTGGTCGTATTCTTCTTTACAGGTATGTCCATTCCAAACATACCTCCACGCTTGCCCCTCACTGATTCGATGTAGATTTGAACGCCAACAATACACCGACTTCCGCCAGATATGGGATGACGAGGAATCTGAACAGAAATGTGCAAGTGATACTTATGGTGCTGAACACTTGTGTCGTCTCTTGGGTAAGATGAGCCCATCCTTCCTACTCCAATGCTGTACTAACAATAAATTTATAGTCACTCTCCCGGAACTCATCGCTCAAACCAACATGGACCTCCAATCCGTCAATCGTCTTCGAGAAGAACTTGGCAAGTTAACCAGCTGGATCGGCAAGAACGCTAAGGATTACTTTGTCAACGAATATGAGGCTCCCGGTGTCGAATATACAGAGAAGGCTCGCAGCAATGTTTAGATGGATTTCGCTGTGCGCTGAGGGATGGTATAGACGTAAGAACGGGTTGGATTGGCGGCAGGTCTATCATTGCATGGGATGGAGAATGGCGCTTTCTCACTTGCTTTTGTTTTAACCAAGGATCTTGTAAACCGATCCGCCAACCTCTTCTGCCGTTACTGGGATGGCATTGGATGGTTTTACAAGAAAGTCTGGGAGCATCATGGAAGGAAGGCAGAGAACGGAAGACTCGATGAGCATAGAGGGAGGAAGCAATATTTGAATTATAGCAAGCGATTACAATGGATGATATGGCAGTGGCAGGGCATGGTATGGCATTGCACGGAATGATATGGCATGGCATGGCAAATTTTTATTACTACCTCTAAGATTGACATTAAGCTGTAGCTGCACAGGTAGTTTGTTTCTAGAATTACATGATGAGTTAATTTACTTTTTCTTGAAAATAGACGTAGTGATAGTGGTGATATTTATGAGGTGTGATGGGTGTGATATGTATGAATAGGTATGAGGTATGATAGGTGTGATATGTAGTCGACGGGGGGAAGTTACCAGTTGTTTTAATCAGGTTGTCTGTGTATCTTCATTTATTTTTCATTTTCATTTTCATTTCAAATATTTGGTTTGGTTTGTGCGGTGGTTGTTGATGGAAATGGAAATGGAAATGGAGAGGGATGGAGGAAAAGGGTGGGAGGAAATGGGTGGAGGAGTTGTGGAAGTTCGATGGGTTGGGGTTTGAATCTGGTACGGTTTATGCAGTGGGTTGGCCTGGGCCTGAGCCTGGATTTTTCTGGGCGATTTGGATTGGAGGCAATCCCAATCTGAATAAGGTAACCTCCTATCCTCAATGAACTTATATACATCCTCATTCATGGTATGGTATCGCCCTTTCAATTCCTCGCATGGCCTTCACTATCGCTATCGCTATCCCATCCACATCCCCCCAGTCCTACCCTAACCCATACTCATACATTCCCTTCCCCCTCCCTCAATCCCTATCTTCTCAAACGACCTACCTACCTCTCAACAACAAACCCACTTTCCGGCCTCCTCTTCTTCGTCTCTTGTCTCTTACTCAACTTCTCCTTCGTCTCCTCCACCTCCACCAACTCCTTCACTCTCATAATTTGACCCGCGATATCCGAACACACAGGATGATATACACTCGCCGTTCTCTTATGTAAACCCAAGAACTTTAGGACGCGCTCGGATTTCTTGGGGAGACCAATTGCGGACCGCGTTAGGGTTATGCGGAAATAGGATGTGGGGGTTGGTGGTGCGACCGTTTGCCAGGGTTTTTGGGTGTAGAGGGATTTCTTGAAGGGGAGGGGCTTTTTGAAGGTGTTAGGGGCCCTCCTGCCGGGAGAGGTTTTGGAAACGCTTTTGGGGGCGTTTTTGCCGATTTGAAGGAGGGCGGGGGAGACTGATGGACTGGATGAGAGGAGAGCGCGGGTTAGGGGGGCGGCGGTGGTGGTAGACATTGTGGGTGGTAGTGTGATGTGATGTGGTGTGGTTCTGGATGTCTGTGAGGAAAGTTAGAGGGGTTGTTGTTTGTGAAGAGAAGAGATTGATTTGTGTGAGAATTAGGAAGGGTGGATAAGGTGGATGGGAAGAAGGGAAAGGGGAAGGGGGGAAATTGTACCTTATGATTGACAACTTAATATTCAATGCCTTGTTCTGCGCTCTGAAGTCACTGTTGCTAATATATCAAACGTTCAATTTGGAGAAATAATCGTAAATATCAAACAAGGATTCTCGGTTCGGTAATTCTTTCCCCCGATACAATCCAAGCTAATCCTCGTTTTGGGACAATGCGCCATATCTCATATAGCATTGAACTTTCTATCTGACGCGCAATTGTATGACTCGACTTCTTTGAATTATTTCCCAGGAACTTCAAATTGTTAATAAAGCTCTGCGAGAGCGATAACTGTCCACTTGGTCTCCTATTCCTCCTGCGCGCATAACCATCAATCCCCTCCTCGAGCTCCTACAGCTCACAGCCAAAATGACAATGGACGTATCCTCCATTAAGCTCTCCGACCTCCTCCACCACCCCGACGATCTCGACAAAATCCCCGCCCTAAAACTAGAATATACACGCAAGAAATCCGCCGTCGATTCACAACTCCGATCTGGTCTTAAAGAACAACTCGAAGTGACGCAGGCAGGAATGCACGGAATAACCGATGGACAACGAACTGTGCAGCTTATCAAAGACGAGATGATGAAGATTGATAAACTATGCGCCGAAGCACAGAATATGATTAAGGATTTCCCGAATATCAATCTGGTGAGCCAGACGCATAGGAATTTTACGGCGGTGGAAACGATGAGGAGGAATTTGGTGGATTTTAATGAGAGGTTGACAAGGGTGGAGGGATTGCTTGAAGAGGATGATAGGGATGAGGATAACATGGGGAATTTGCTGGCGATTCATTATGAGTTGACGCAGTTAAGGAATATTAGGGATGATGCTATGGAACAGATATTGAGGGCCGATGATGCGGGTTTACAGGGGACGCTAGAGGATTATTTTGCGAGGTTGGATGAAACGATTGATTGGTTTGATGAGCATATTGGGAAAGTGGCTATGAATCTGATAGAGGTGGTTGTGCAGGGGAATAGTAGTTTGGTGGTGAGATTGGCGGTGGTTATTGAGGCGGAGGAGAAGAGTGATACGAGGGTTTTGGCGTTACAGGAGGCATTAAAGGATCATAAGGAGATGGCGGCGAGGTTTAAGAGTATTACGGATGGGGCGAAGAGTACGAGGGGGTATAAGGAGAAGTTTTTAATGGCTATTAAACTCAAGGCTGATGGAGATATTGAAGGAACAAAACAAGCCTTTTTGGAGGATCCGTCGAAATTGGAGAAAGCCATCAGATGGTTCTTCAATGATCTAAATGCGGTTAAACAGGGGATGGTACCGCTGATGCCGAAGAAATGGAAAATTCTCAAGACGTATGGGAAGATATATCATCAGTTGATGCATGATTTTCTTATTGGCATGATCGACGATCCGGATACGAGTTCGGCGAATATGTTGGCGATTCTGAATTGGCCGGAGAAATATTATACCAAGATGAATAAGTTGGGTTTTAAGAGAGATGAGTTACAACCGGAAGTCTTGGATGGGAGAGAGACTGAATTGGTTAGAGATTTCAGACAACTTATCATTAAGTTCTTGGATCAATGGCTTGATCGGATCTTCAAAACGGAGAAGAAAGATTTCGATGAAAGGAATGTGGATGGTTCGAATCTTGATCAGGATGAATATGGATATTTCCGTACCAAAAACTTGGTCGATATGTGGCGTATGTTGCGCGAACAGGTGGATGCGGCGGGTAATTCTCAAAGAATGGACGTCACAGAAGGTGTTGTCGATATCATGATCGTACGTCTCAAGACTCGTCAACAGACCTGGCAGGAGATGCTCGATACCGAAGCTGCCAAATACTTCAACGCAACTACCGAACTCGAGGGTTTCCAAGCCTTGCAGGATTGGCTCGTCGCTACTGCCAATGATCAAATTGCCTGCATCGATGATAATGAAGATGAAGGACGATTCGGATACCTCACGAGCTTCCGACAAAAATTCGAGCCGCTCGTCTCCAGCACCTATCTCGAGCGCGTAGATATCGAAATCACCAGTCTTAACGATGGATATGTTGACCTGAGCACCCATTGCATATCCAAATTCGCCACGCTAATCTTCGCCGTCGATTTCAAAACCGTCATGCCCGATTTCTTCACGCCAAAATGGTATGCGAATACCGCTATGAAACAAATGACGGTTACATTTGAGGAATATATCAATGATTACAAAAATGTATTACATCAATCATTACTCGATATCTTCATCGAAGAACTCGCCATCGAACTGCTGATCCAATATCTCGGCTGCGTCCGCAACAAAGGAGCGAAATTCAAGAGAAATGACCCCTTTACAGATAAAATCGTAAACGATGTATCAACTGCCTTTGAATTCTTCAACGGGAATACATACTTGACAGCAGAGGTTCGCGAAATCATCATAGCCAAATGGGCGGTGACGCAAAACTTCCTGGAATTGCTGGAGTGTGAGAAGACGGTAGTGCCGGATGTGGTGGAGGGGTTTAAGAGGGAATATTGGGATTTGGGGTTGGGGTGGGTGGAGGCAACGTTGAGGGTGAGGGAGGATTTTGATAGGGGGTTGTTGAAGGGGGTTAAGGAGAGGTGGGGGGTGGTGGTGGGGGAGGTGGAGAGGGGGGGGGAGACTATTATGGCGAGGGTTAAGTAGGGGGTTTGGTTGGGGGTGTATGAGGAAGGGGAGGGAAGGGGAGGGGAGGGGCAGAAATAAAATTTGAGCGGGGGAATACGTACATACATACATACATGGTTTTCGGTTTTCGGTTTTGGTTTGGTTTTGGTTTGGTTTAGTAGAGGACTTTTATATATGTTTCTTTCCTGAGCGTGGGTGGAATCTTGAGCGAGGAGTCAGGAGTCTTTTCTTCTCTACTATTTTTCATTTTATGCATGCATTTCATAGAAGCAATATTTATATCTATATCTATATATTATAACGCTCGGGTATACAAAACGGATAAAACAATAAGTGTCGAGAGGATTATGCAGGAAAGGAAAGGAAAGGAAGGGAAAGGAAAGGGAAAGGGAAAAATGGCGTTGGAGGTTTATGTCTGTCTGTCTGTTGTATGTGTTTTGTTTTGGGTGGAGTGGAGGATGAGGGTGGAGGATGGATGAGTATATCCCATATTGGTAACGAACGATGCTAGGAAAATAATTAAGTATGTATGTTATGTATGTATGTATGTATGTATGTATGTATGTATGTATGTATGTATGTATGTATGCAAGTATTTGAAGTTTATGCATTCTATTGATTAATTGATTTGTGATGCTATTGGTATTTGACTGGTTGGTGGTGGTGGTAGTGGTGGTGTTGGTGTTGTGTGTTTAGTTGGGTGGATGGGTGGGTGGATGGATGGATAATTGAATGGATGGATGGATGGATGGATGATGGGAAGTCGCTGGGGAATGTATAGTGTGGTATGGTATGGTGATATTACGGGTATATGACTATATGAGTATTGTAATGGCATGTAATGGTATGTATTCGAGTATTGTAATGTAATGTGATGTGATGTGATGGATGTATATGTATGTACAGATAATATCTTAAAATAGGGACAGGAATAGGGATAGGAATAGGAATAGGGATGGGAATAGGTTGCGTTGTATTGTATTGTTAAGAACTTGAGATATAGGAGGAAGGGAGTATGGATTGGAAGTTGGATATTGGATGTAGGATGTAGGATGTGGGAAGGATGTGTATGTGAGATTACTACTGTACTACTACTATGAAATGAGTTTGGAGGTTGGGTTTGGAAATAATGGCAAAATGGGAAAATGGGAAAATGGGGAGAAATAGATAGGGGAAATAAGGTTGAGCTTGAGCTGGAGCTTAAATTTGAATTTGGATAATATTGAGGATGTTGAATTGCTTGTTAGGTGTGAGAGAAATGTGGGAGAGGTGTATAAGTAATGGATGGGGTGTGTGTGGTACAATTTATGTAGTGTATTTATGTAGTATGAGTACCCAGGAATCAGAATAAAGAGGGAAGAGTAGAAAGTAAAAAGTATAATGTAGAATGTGGAGAGTGTATATAGATTGGATGATTAGATGAATAGATGATTTACTATAAATTCATACTTGAGGTATGATTAACTGAACCCGCAGATGCAAATGGAAAACGAGGCAGTAGAGATACTCTAATCCTAATAATATATTTGTAAACAGAAAAGATACATATATTTACAAAATGGACAATAAAGAGAAAGAAACTGAGTTAATTTTGCTCTTGTATACACGCGACTGGCTATATAGGTAGGTTTGGTTAATACAGTATTACTTTAAGAAATATAGCCCAACTTGAATGTGTTGGGATGTGGTGGATGGATGATTATTTAAGTCTGTGTAGTTGTACTGTGATGATTCCTTTCTCCTCTCTCTAACTGTAGACTAATTGGGCGAGTGGCAAACTTAAGTCTTGCAGAGTAGCTTGAGATGAATTCGAATTCGAACACCATATGCGAAGATCAGAATCCATCACTACCTACTCGAGTATACCCATCACTCTCCACACCCGCTCGCTAAGAACACAACACCAAACCAAATAAACCTTACCTCCCAATCAAAAAAAAGCACAATATAAAAATAAAAATTAAACAGCAAAATAACAGTCGAAACCATTATCCCAGCTTCTCACGCGCGTAAGTTCTGATGGCCAATATCCTGTTTGATGACTTCCAGGTAGAAATTTGATGTGATCGCATTACTAACTGCACCAAACACACAAATATTAGTTATGGGTGGAGTGGATTTTGGGGTTTATATTTGTGAGTTGGTGGGTGAGTGAGTGAGTGAGTGAGTGAATTTGGTTTGGGGGGTGGGGATGGGGATGGGATGGGAATCATGGGATGAATGAATATGAAGATGAAGATGAAGATGAAGATGAAGATGAAGATGAAGATGAAGATGAGAATGCTGTCTATATTATTGAATTGATGTAGGATCTCAGGTTTGGGTTTCCTTTTCGAGATATAGTTGTGCATTCAGCTTAAACCGGATTCATAGACATGTATACAACAAAACATTCATCAATACCCTTAAAAGCCTCTGATAATCAATAGGGAAGCATAGAGTCAAGAAGAAGGATAGGAATGATATCAAAGTCAAGGTTCAAAGATGAGAAACATGAAGTACATGACTATGAGATTCAAACCTCTGAATCTCCTATTTAAGCTGAGATGCAGTTGAGGTTATTTTCATTTGCCTAGATACGCAGATATGCAAAGGCGTGAGGGAGAGAAGGAGGGATTGAGGGAGGAAATCGTTGATTTGATTGTCATCGGAATAGGATGGAGGTAGAAGAGATGAGATGAGACGAGAAGTAATGTGATGTGATGTTCCAAAGATGAAATGAGATGGGATGGAACATGATGAAATTGATAACTGGCAATGAAAAGTGTTTTCCCAATGACTAGATCAAAAGAGTTTATGTAGTTTCTTCTATTGAGTCAAAGAGAAATGATAAAAGAGTGGTATAACATTTACTATCTAAGTAATCAATCCAAAGTCCAAATCAAAACCAGATTTCGAGCTTCAATAAAATAAGCTCCAACACCACATCTTAAGAGATAGCACATCTCACAAACCACGGAATCCCTTAATTGGGAACCTGAAGTTCACATGATGACTCTCCGCCCCACCAACCGCCTCAACCTTACTATCCTTTGCCGTTTCGCTCGCCTCCAAGCTATCCCATCCCACCGCCGCCACGAACACTTTCCCCTTTCCATCCACATCTTCACGAGATAGACCGGACGCCACACCAGTGCAGCCTTCAAGACCTTTGAACTTGGAGATTTGAGCTCGAAGATCATCTTCGGATGCGGTTCCTTGTTCTATGGTGAGCATCTGAACGAAGTGAGCGTCGATAACTTCTTTGGGGGCGTAGGGTTTGAATTCGATGACGATGATGTTGGGGGGAGCGGTGAGAACTGGTCTGACTTGAGAAAGCATTTCTTGGAAGGCTGGGGAGGCTGAAAATTGGAGTTAGTTGAATGTTTCGAGTTGAATTAAGGGTGTGGAAGCTACCTTGGAATTTGGTTAGACCATCTATGGACTCCCAACCAATAAGAAGCTCAAGCTTTTGTTGGTCTTCGCTATGGGGTCCCCATCTGATATTTTTGTGAGTGATTTGTCATGAATAGAATGTTGATAGTGGAAGCATACCGAGTGCGAAGGTAGCCATCCTGAACCTTCAATGTTTGAAGCATGGACTTGAGGGCATCTTTCCATTCATCGACACCCCCTTTGACTGACAAGATAACTCTTTCGGTGATAGCCATATTGAATTTGTGATGGTTTTGTTTGTTGTTGATGATGATGATGATGATGACGATGACGATGACGATGATGGTTATAAAGACGAAGAAGAAGAAAGTGTTTTTAGATGGAATTAGTTTAAATTGTGCCGGACAATTGTTAAAGATTTAAAGTTGAATGTGAGGATGTGGAATTGTGAGTTATATGATTGTTGAATGTCCTTATATACATCACCTGCAGTCATCGTACAAGGATGTTTAAGTTCCAGCTGTGTAAAGCTCCATTGGCCCATAGCGGCGTTGTCCAAGCAAAAGAGGAGCTCGCAACTTGAAGATTCCCATATGAGAAGAATACCAAAGTGACATGGAGAAAGCCGTGAAAAGGACCATTCTGCGGGGAAAACTTTCGGGTGACAAGCTTACCTTTCGTGTAATATCTGTGCGTGGACATTTGATTTGAGCACATAGAGTTGCAATTAAGGATTGCAACAGTTGCCGGCCGCACTAATGCGTAAGCCATGCTTCCAAGGTGCTTCCAGCACCCCCTCTATTATCTTACGCACTTGTGCAATGGTATTCGTACCCTTCCCATTCGTTAATTCATACGACATGGCTTTCAGTAACAGCTTTGCGGCAACATCTAGACTGTACATTGCAGGGATTATTGAGTTTTAAAAGGCTGTTTCATAAAATGTACTCTCGGAGCTCGTGTATCGCTATTCAAAACAAGAACATGAGCACTGATCACGTGTGAGTAATTGCGATGCGATGCGGCAGATGGCAGGTGTCAAATTTTCTCAAGACTCAAGAGGTACTTCAGATGACCTATTGGCAATGGCTTCACTTGAAACAAAAGTTGTGTATGGGTTTATGACTCGGTTCGCATCGCATCGCGCACTTGCTCGTGCATTAAAAGTGGCTGACTTGAGTCCGAAAGCTGAATTGGAGATTCGGAAAACATAAGCCGGACATTCAGAACACTATCAATTGACGCATCCATCAATAGAATCACTCGTACATTTCTAGATTCACCAAAAATCATATGTTTCGAACGTATGCCCAATAACCTCGATAGCAACGATATTAGCCAAATCTAGTGCAGCGAGGATATCAAAGCCAACAGGCGACCAACTGTCTAAGGGGTATGTGGCGCTTATGTGATAAAGGAGAAACAGTTGCGGTAAATCTGCAAAATGAGGGGATTGGGGAAATACCGGACAGGTCATATCAGAAAGAATAAGAAAACGAAATCACACATTCGGTGAGTGTTTAATGAAATCACATAGAACAAATTAAAGGAACGTGGTGTTGGCAGAATTGAGGTGCCCAAATCAACAAAAATACATAAAGTACCGGTATCTGAGAAGACTCGCTCATAGTTACGTGACTGAAAACACGGCCAGATAGTCGTGAAAGGTTGAATCGAAATAGAAAAATTAAGGATATGCATTCTTTAGCACCGAGTATCGAACGAAATGTCATGAAGACCACAGCTGAACTGTAAAGTCCGGACACCATCGTGCAATACTACATATACAAGAGGGAGATACCGTAAATGTATTAGAGTCGGTGCATATTCATGTATAGAAGTTGAATAATCTCTCCTCCAGTTGTAGTCCAGAAAGCTGTTCCCAAAAACCGTTATTGATTCTGTTTTGTTGGTGGTGTTGTTGTTGTTGTTGTTGTTGTTGTTGTATTGTTGAGAGCAAGAAGTTGTCACAAAGTTAATTATGTTTACGATTATGTAAGCAGATCATGACTAAGCCAATAAAGCAGTGATATGAGTTTACAGGCGATATCCGAAGTTGACGCAACCCCACCATCTCCACCAAAGCAACGGAAAGCCATCCTCTCATATCAAGTTTAACTTACCCAACGAATGAAGGTAATGAGATGGTAAGCTGCGTCTTGGGGCTAAATTACCTTTCAATATCGAGGGTAAATGTTAAAATCCTGACACCCTTCATTGAAGATATACAATCTTCCTGTATCTCTACTCTACATGGGAAAGATTGCCACTTCAGATCACTTCAACCCCGCCTTTTCTGAGATACTGAACTGTCTAAGAGAGTGGTTCTGGAGATTGGTTTGAGGGCCATCGGAGACCTCCATCAGCTTAAGCTACCAGATAAGCAGCAGGCCCGATATAGTATCATATCTTCTTTGCATAAAGATACACGCATTTCTTTTAAAAGCTTAATTGCTCTTCTTTTGGTTTTTACTCTAATACTTCATTCACTTCATTCACTTCAAGAGAACTAACGTCTTGAGGGGCACTGAAACATTTTGGTGGCAGGAATCTAATCTTGGAAAAGGGTACTGACAACTTGGATCTGATAATAGACCTTCAGAAAACATCAACCTAGAAACTCAAAATGGCACCCGTTGCCCTTTCTCCAGAACATTCACCCGAGCCTGCGGTTCCGCTTGCGTTCAAGCAATCTCTCTCCTCCGTGACGACTACCTACGATGATACCCTTCGTTTCTATCTAAATGGCACGCGAGTTGTCATTGATAACATGGATCCCGAAATTACTCTCCTCGACTATCTTCGCGGTATAGGACTTACAGGCACAAAGTTAGGATGCGCTGAGGGGGGCTGTGGAGCTTGTACAGTTGTCGTTTCGCAATATAACCCTACCACAAAGAAAATATATCATGCAAGCGTGAACGCATGCCTAGCACCACTGGTCAGTGTCGACGGGAAGCACGTTATTACCATCGAAGGCATTGGGAATACAAAGAGACCGCATCCCACACAGGAGAGAATTGCGAAAGGCAATGGGAGCCAGTGTGGGTTCTGTACGCCAGGTATAGTTATGAGCTTATATGCACTTCTTCGAAACGATTCAAATCCATCAGAACATGACGTAGAAGAAGCATTTGATGGAAACCTTTGCCGGTGTACAGGATATCGCCCAATTTTGGATGCTGCTCAGACTTTTAGTTCTGGGGCCGCATGTGGCAAATCGAAAACAAATGGTGGAGGTGGTTGTTGTATGGAGAATGGTGGCGGGAGTGGTGGATGCTGCAAGAATGAATTAAAAGATGATCAGCCTATCAAGCGGTTTACCCCTCCTGGGTTCATCGAGTATAACCCGGATACCGAACTTATATTTCCTCCACCACTTAGAAGGCATGAATTCAAACCTCTGGCTTTTGGAAATAAGAGGAAAAAGTGGTATCGTCCAGTGACTATGGAACAGCTCTTAGAGATCAAAAGCGTCTATCCATCGGCTAAAATCATTGGTGGAAGTACAGAAACACAAATCGAGATTAAATTCAAGGCGATGCAATATACAGCTTCAGTGTTTGTTGGTGATATTCCTGAATTGCGGCAGTTTTCATTCAAAGATGATCATCTGGAGATTGGTGGTAATGTCATACTGACGGATCTGGAGTCGATTGTTCAACAAGCAGAGAAGCATTATGGACCTGAAAAGGGCCAAGTATTTAAGTCAGTAGATTCATTTCCCTTGATTATACCCTAATCCCATAATTTGACACTTTTATGACTATTAATGAAGCCTGTCATCCTTTTCACTTAAATGGGTCAACGATAGACGGTAGCCATGGGAAAATCGGCTTTAATGTGACAAGTCTTTTTTGTACTAACAACATTTATAGAGCCATCCATAAGCAATTGAAATACTTCGCCGGTCGACAAATTAGAAATGTCGGGACACCCGCAGGAAATTTAGCTACTGCTTCTCCTATTTCTGATCTCAACCCTGTGTTCGTTGCATCGAATGCTATTCTAGTCGCAAGGTCTTTGGACAAGGAGACGGAAATCCCCATGTCTGAATTCTTCAAAGGCTATAGATTGACTGCACTTGCTCCAGATGCAATCATTGCAAGCATTCGTATACCCGTGACGCAAAAAGGAGAATATTTGAGGGCGTACAAGCAGTCGAAACGAAAGGATGATGATATTGCAATCGTTAATGCAGCTCTTAGAATTGCCATTGATGATTCGTATGTTGTGACAAGCACGAGTCTAGTATATGGAGGGATGGCTCCAACCACGATCGCGGCAAAAAATGCTGGTGCTTACTTGAAAGGCAAGAAACTTACAGATCCTGCGACGTTAGAGGGTACCATGAACGCTCTGGAAGAAGACTTCAATCTTAGTTTTAGTGTCCCAGGAGGAATGGCAACTTATCGCAAATCCCTTGCATTCGGCTTCTTCTACCGCTTTTACCACGAAATATTGTCAAAACTCGAGGTCAAAGATCTGGAAGTAGATGCACAAGTCGTGCCGGAAATTGAGCGTATCATATCGTTTGGTAAGGAAGATAGAGAAGCCACTGTTGCCTACCAACAGAACATTCTCGGAAAGGCGAGTCCACACGTAGCGGCATTGAAGCAAACATGTGGCGAAGCACAGTACACCGATGACATACCAGTCCAGAAGAATGAACTATATGGATGTTTGGTTCTATCAACCAAAGCACATGCCAAGATCACGAGTGTCAATTGCGCCCCCGCAATGGATCTACCAGGTGTTGTTGAATATGTTGATCATACAGATATGCCAAGCCCCGAGGCCAACTACTGGGGAGCGCCAATCTGTGATGAATTGTTCTTTGCTGTTGACGAAGTATTTACAACGGGTCAACCTATTGGTATAGTTCTTGCTGATAGCGCAGCACATGCAACTGCAGGAGCACGAGCTGTTAAAGTTGAATATGAGGACTTGCCGGCAATTTTTACAATGGAAGAAGCAATTGAAAAAGAAAGTTTCTTCGATCATTATCGGTACATAAAGAAAGGAGAACCAGAGAAGGCATTCGAAGAGGCCGATCATGTCTTCAGTGGCGTTTCTAGAATGGGTGGCCAAGAGCACTTCTATTTAGAGACTCAAGCGTGTGTAGCGATACCTAAAATCGAGGATGGGGAAATGGAGATTTGGTCCGGAACCCAAAATCCAACAGAAACGTAAGTAGAATCGGTCGCTGTCATATTCTCCAGCTAACATTCCATCAGGCAAACTTATGTAGCACAAGTCTGTGACGTTGCAGCAAATAAAGTTGTGAGTAAAGTCAAGAGAATCGGTGGCGGGTTTGGTGGAAAAGAGACTCGTTCCATTCAACTATGCGGCATCGTATCTCTTGCGGCCAAAAAGATTGGTAGGCCAGTTCGTTGTATGCTCAATCGTGATGAAGATATGATTACGTCTGGTCAAAGACATCCTTTCCTGTCTCGATGGAAAGTTGCTATCAACAAAGATGGCAAGATTCAGGCCCTTGATTTGGATATGTTCTGCAATGGAGGTTGGACGCAAGATCTTTCTGGTGCTGTTCTCGATCGATCATTGTCACATTCCGATAATTGTTATATGATCCCTAATATCCACGTACGAGGTCGTGTTTGCAAGACGAATACGATGTCAAATACCGCATTCCGAGGATTTGGTGGACCACAAGGTCTATTTATGGCCGAATCATATATCGAGGAAGTTGCGGACCGTCTCGATATGCCAGCAGAAAAACTCAGAGAAATCAACTTCTATAAGGCAAACGAGCAAACACATTTCAATCAAGCTCTAAAAGACTGGTATGTGCCACTGATGTATAAGCAAGTTCAAGAAGAATCGAATTATGCCGCAAGGCGAGAAGCAATCACAAAATTCAACGCAGAGCATAAGTGGAAAAAGAGAGGACTTGCAATCATACCTACAAAGTTCGGTATCTCTTTTACAGCACTTTTCCTCAATCAAGCTGGAGCATTGGTTCATATCTATCACGATGGATCCGTTCTTGTAGCCCATGGTGGCACTGAAATGGGTCAAGGTCTTCATACGAAAATGATGATGGTAGCAGCCGAAGCACTAGGCGTCCCCTTGTCCGATGTATTCATCTCAGAAACTGCCACCAATACAGTAGCCAATACGTCTTCCACCGCTGCGTCCGCTTCCTCTGATTTGAACGGATATGCCATTTTTAACGCCTGCGCTCAAATCAACGAACGACTTGCTCCATACCGAGAGAAATTTGGTCCGGATGCCACTATGAAACAGCTAGCCCATGCAGCTTACTTCGACCGTGTCAACCTCTCCGCGAACGGATTTTACAAAACTCCAGACATTGGTTATACTTGGGGTCCCAACACCGGCCAGATGTTCTTCTACTTCACACAAGGTGTTACAGCCTCAGAGGTCGAGATTGATACCCTAACTGGTGATTGGACATGTCTACGCTCTGATATCAAGATGGATGTTGGTCGTTCTATCAATCCGTCCATCGATTATGGACAAATTGAAGGTGCTTTCGTACAAGGTATGGGATTATTTACCACGGAAGAATCACTCTGGTTCCGCGCCGGACCCTTGGCAGGGCAACTTGCCACTCGTGGACCCGGTGCATATAAGATCCCGGGATTTAGAGACATCCCTCAGGAGTTCAACGTCTCTCTGCTCAAGGGTGTGGAATGGGAAGAATTGAAAACCATTCAGAGGAGTAGGGGTGTCGGAGAACCGCCTTTGTTTATGGGTAGTGCGGTGTTCTTTGCTATTAGAGATGCGTTGAAGGCTGCTAGAAAGGAGTATGGTGTCACGGCGGAAATTGGGGAGGATGTTAAAGGCGGGGGTTTGTTGAGATTGGAAAGTCCGGCAACACCGGAGAGGATCAGAATTAGCTGTGCAGATCCAATTTTGAAGAGGGCGGAGGTTATACCAAGGGAGGGTGAGAAGAGTTTCTTTATCAGTATTTAGTATTTAGGATGGAGATACAGTAGGGCTAGGTATAGGATGAAATTTTGGCTGGAGTTTATTTCAATGGGATCTTGTCGCGTTTGTATTGATTGTTGAGATCATAAATACGCTTCTGGTTTCTTGGTTGCATGAATTATTTCCTTGTGTTTTACTACTCTTAGTGATATGTAGACTACAGTAGATGCAGATCATTTATTGTATGGATGTTTCGTAAATACTCGAGCACTGGTATACCAATATCCCCTCCTGACTGACTCGGTCTACTAATTACTCGCCTATATCTTCTTCAACTTCTTCCTAAACCGTGCTCTGAGCCTCTGACTCATTTTCCCTTCTCTTCTCCCCCCACCCACATCCATTCAATAACCCACTTACATCTTACCCATCCACCCCACTCCGCTTCATTTCATATTTTCACATATCCAATTTTCCCATTCCAATCTCCACACCTCAATCTCCACAACTCCAATTTTTCTTCAACACACCGGTACTGGTATATAGGTATAAGTTTTGGCACAGGATTCATCAAATAAAGCAACATAAAAAGCAAGTTGGCGCAGTGGAAGCGCGCCGGGCTCATAACCCGGAGGTCCCCGGATCGAAACCGGGACTTGCTATGTTCTTGTTTTTTGTTCTTGTTTTTGTTTTTTGTATTTGAGGGGTTTGAGGGTCGAGGGCTTGGGGTTTGAGATTTTTGGTGTTTTTGTTGGTGGGGTTTTTGGGGAGGAAAAATTAGGGTGAGGGGAGGGGAATGAGAGGGAGAGGGAAAGGGAGAGGAGAAAGGAAAGAAGTGATGGTCACCGGGAGGGAGGTAGGAGGTGAGGTGATGTTACGTATTTTTATGAATGATAATTTTAGATGGTGGGGGACGGGGAGTGGGAAGGGAAGGGAAGGGGGATCGTGTTCTGTACAACGAGTAGTATGAAAGGTGGAGGGTAAAAGGTGGAAGGTAGAAAGGGAAAAGAGGTCGTAGAGATATGGATATGAGGAGGGATTTGGATTCGAAGAGGGATTTGGTTCGGAGAGCGTTTAGGTATGAGGTAAGGGTGATAGGAGAGGTAAGGCGAGGAGAGCAGGGTGTATAGATTTAGATTGATATTCTGTATTGCTTTTATACCGTAGCGTCGACTATGCTAAGTTGCTGGAGGATAACGGGCCTGCCAGATCAGGGGTGATTATACATGATTTTATTTTATATTTATAATAGCAAGGAAGGAAGGGCCTATGGGTTTGTATATATATACTGATATTGATTTTGGAACATACGTCTTAGGAATCTATATATATATTATCAGGGATTCTAATTTCTGCACACGTAATCAGTGATGATGATACAGAAAATGAAAGGGGGGGTTTGATCGAGAATGATATAATATGGATGGATATACCAGTTATAATACTACAGCGAATTTTACTCGAGTAGAGCTGGTGAGGACACGGAGGACGTGAAATAACAGAAGAGAAGTGAAGAAAAAAGGTCGAGAACTCAAAGAACATAAAGGAAGTAACGGTACTGTATGGTATATAGACATTTACACAAAACGAGACGGCTATCCTAATGCGAATACAATAAATACAAGTAACCTTAGTGGTGGAGATACTCGAGTACTTTTCGTTGGAGGAATACAATGGGTAGATGATTTACGAGTAGGTAGATGATTCCAGCAGCTAATTATTATGATTTATAAGAGATCTTGCATTAATGTTAATACAAGTACAGTAGAGGTTATATTAAATATTCATTGGTATCTAGAGATTTTTTATAAAATACATAATCCAAAATTATCATATGTTTCTATAATAATTTTCCATAATAAAATACAAAGTCAATGAAGGAGAAGTTGATTTGCTTCCTAATATGATATATCCCACCTCATATCAAATAACAACTCATTACTCGTCAACTCATACTTCATTCCGCAAGTCATTACTATAGTATTATTATTATTATTATCAGTCAAATAAAATCGTGTTATTATTCATACTCGAGTACTCGAGTACGGTATAATAAAGCATAAAGCGTACTAGATATCATATTATATCGTATCATATCATATCATAGCTGAAGAATACTTGATACTTGATACTGTTAGATGTACTCAGTATGAACTACAACATTTCTATTGACTAGTTGACTAACTGGCTCAATGTTAATCAGAAAGTAGCATATATCGTATCGTCAAAGAGGGAAGTAATTGCAGAGAAAGAACAAGGGATAGAAACAAAACAGCATATTTTGCTCATCCATCACTGTTACTGTTGTATAGAGATCTATAGATGTATAGATGAATGATTTTTAGAAATTAGGTCAAAGTTAAGGAAAGAAAATAAGATTACATATTATGTTTTAATAAAAAAACTGCGAATATCCTGCAATCACAGTGTTGGAACTTGGCAGCTATTGTAGTACTGTGTGGATAAAAGGGTAGATAGATACTTGAGTACATTATACAGCTTTAGTTGAGATCACCGCTTCATACCAACTTCTAACTCATATGATGGATGAACAACAAACAACACAATGCCAGAAGATAAGACTAGCCAAAATTAAACAATAGAACGAATTCGATATTTTTATCCCCTCATCCTCATCAAAGTAAGCCATAAGTATGTACGTGGTCTAACTTTTCTGTCTTCTAATTATTCGCCCGAGACTATTTTTGGACTTGCATCATTCGGTAACGAATCCTCTTGCGTGAATTGCCCGGGTCCGGTTAGTAGGTAGGTGACTCTGGCGGTTGAAGGAATGCCTAGGATACTTAATTATGCATGCCAACCTTTCGATACCGCATAGTTGAACATCCCGGGTTGGCAAACGTGAAGTTCTGTATGTTCCTCGGCCGCTTCTTGCTTGTTCGATATCCTTCCTACCTACCCCGAGCGTGGATAGGATTCTCAAAAGTTCCCGCATCCTATAAATACCTAAGTCGCTGTCTTACCGGGCACAGACAATAATTAATCGGAACCTCGAAATAGTCTTGGCCTAAATGGTTTCTAATGGGTCCTTGCTTGTTTAGAAGATCAACTCGGTGGATTGACATGTCATCAATTGTATGACCAGGATTCATTCCTCCAGATTGTGGAATCGTTCGTGAGCTGGCATGGCAAATGCGGGCATCATCGCACCACATACGTGACAAATCTCACGACTATATATCTCATCTTCATCTTCATCCCACGGATCTTGTTCGCCTACAGTATCCTGCGAGGTGTAGACTACATCCTCAGAGCCCATGGTAGGTATGGAGATGTGCTCTGTCTCAGTAGGCTCACGTTCAGAAATCTCACTCTCATTCAGAACAAAGTGAGGTGGGACATCTCGATCCTCAACTTTCCACTCTTTGAGAGTGGCTTCTTGTCGCTTGAACATAAGGTCAATGTTTCTACCGCCGCCAGATCCATCTTCCCTCGCTGCTTCAATCATATTGGTTACTCCAATATTTACTAAACTCAAATTCCAGTCCGACCTTTGTGGATGTAATTTCCGGAACATGGGAACCAATGCTTCTTGGATTAGTCGCTCGACAATGCTATCTGTACCATCTTTCAGACTGAAGACAAAGTTTGGCAGAGGCCCAGATCTTGAAATCCTATTGAAGCTTCGTGTTCCTGTGCCATCCGCATTCAGTGGTGGACGAGGCCTGGTGGATAATCGGATTGTTTTAGGGTAAGCAATCCATCGTTTTGATGGAGCATCAGATTCTTCGTCGTCTTCAAGTAAGTCTTGATACATCCTATTCAATAGACTTGTCGCGAGCATTCGAAGCTCTTTCATTAACTGAGGCATTGTATCAAGCTTGAGATATGAATCCTCTATTGATATTTGAGAGGGTACTCTTCGGGCGTCTTTTACATCTGTATCATCGCGGCCATTAATCAATGCCCAAACCCTACCTCCAATGCCTCTTTCTGCTCCGGGTCCTCCCAGAAGTTTTTCGAGTGTATCAGGGCCAATGCCAGCGAAGAGACGAACGTCACGAACAGTAACAGATTCTTTAGTACCTCCATATATTAGCCCACTTTCAAAGTCGGCTGGACGTGATAGGACGTGATTTCGAATGCGTTGAGACATTTTGAACCCAATGCCAGGTATTTTACCAATATCATGGCCATCAATGAACATTGTGATATTGCTCTGTAGTCCATCATCATTGGGCGATACCTCATAGGGTGGGAGTAGAGTTGTCTGTCCTTTTGGCTTGTGAAGGTTGCCTACCAATTTGCTCAGAAGCTTGTTAGTGCATATACCAACAGTTGAAGTGTAGCCCTTGGCCTCCTCTAGGCTCAATCTTAAATGTTGGGCAAGATGTGAACCCAGAATTAAGCGGGTAAGTAACTCGATATCAGTAATCGGGGTCGCCGAGTTCAACGTATATTGAGGGGAGGCTTCGCCGCACGGCTGCAAGTCAGGGTAACCGTGTCCAGCAATCCTCGTCGCATCGAACGTGAACCCCAAAGTAGGATCATTACGATCCAGTTGCAGGAATGAATGGATCAAATCGTTGGGATTGAGGAGTTTCTGGTTGTAGTCGACAATATCTGTGACGTCCATGAACACTTCATCGAATCCTAGTCTTTCTACCTTTCCTGACCAACTAAACTTTTCCAAATGTTTGTATAGTAATTTGGAGGCATCACGGAATCGGCCCAGCTCTTCTCCCAAGACAATAACAACATCTGGACATATTTTCTTGGCTTCACTGATTAATTGCAATTTACTAAGACCGCGGCGTCTAGCTTCGTAATTGCATGTAACGATGATTTGTTTCTAAATTCATTCTTAGAATTTCGGAAATGCTATTTTGAGTTGACCTTGGCAATGGGTCTTACCTGTTGTACAGCCTTTATATTGCGTCAGCTATGTTTCGCAGATCAGAGAGAGAAGCTTGAAGGTTTACCAGAGGTACTGCTTTCAGAGCGGGATTCTCATTTTCGAATACAGACGCGTAGAAGCAGTCATAATCCTTTGACATATGTTAGAATAAATACATTTACGAACTTATTATGGATGTAATAAAGATCCTAATGGGGCTGACTAACGAAATGTATAATTATCCTATGATCCTTTCTCGTCATTATGATTTATTATTAGGAATAATTTGAGTTTCGCTGGCGATGATAATGAATATTAACCGTTGAAGTGAATGAAATCGGTCTCATTCTGAAAGAAGATAGAAAGGATAAAAAGAAGCTAACAGAGAAGAATGTTAATGATATGTAATATATTTGGATGTTTATACTCAAGTACTCACTCGAGTAAGATATAGGAGTTATCGATAAGCAACAAGATACCTAGCCGATGAGATTGATTAAAAAGCAATAATAACTCGAGTACCGTATATTCCAGACAACAATCTGTCTCAATGTCTATTTTAAACAATCACCTTGTTTTTCTCTGGAAATCTATTTTGAGATCATATACCCGGTATTTGCCTCTCACCATTTGCTTTCATACGAACATTAACCGTAACCCCTTCATCGCCACTAGATTCTAGAAGTTTGGTTATTGAGACTCCGGAATAGACCCAAATTATGGCCAAGAATATTGGTCACTAAGGAGGGACATATTAGAAATGATGCTTATTATAAGAATGAGCCACCACAGACTTACTTTATTTACTTTCTCGTCAATCTATTCGTTGAAGCGGTGTGATATTTATAAATTGATTGAGTAGCTGATTAGATTCAGCCCAAATCTGTTACTTTATCTCTGCTCACTACTCCAATTTGCTGCCAACCCCTACCTCTGTACCGCACAGCAGTACCCGTAAGGTAAATGCACCTCGGGAAATCCTTGCGCAGCGCTTCAAGGAAGCACAAGAACCATTGAATCCTTATATGGGTCTATGAACTCTACTCTTTTCCTGCAAGTCTTTATCACATCCGTTTCTATAAACATCGCGCCTATTATTCTCACATGCATAAGCATCAGAAAAGACTGTGCTTAAAACTCTAAACCCCCTTCCACCCACCAAGACCTCTCCCCAGTTTTATTGATCTTATCGATCTATCTTCTTTTCAGAATCTTAGCCTGAGAAACGGTCTATATTATATACATATAGCTGCGGCACGGTCTCTATTGGTTTCGCCTGAAGAGTTGATACTTGTACCTATCTACTCTTTACGAAATTACGAAATCATTTGACGAATTTAACGACGTACTACGCCTTCAAGAATATCTAGGCCATCTGGGACTCTTTGTGACCCAAGATCAAAGTCTAGATTCTTCAATATATATACTTTCGTTCCACAGACCAACACACAGTCAAGCAAGCAACACTTTATTAAGAATCCTACCATTTTCCCGATTATGATGCTGGCACCTATCCAAGAGTGCTCCTCGATAGTTATGTCTTACCCTCCTCGATATTCATCACCACCAAAGAGACCGAGATTATCTCTACAGATCAAGACCCCATCCGCTCCACAAACCCTTGGAAAGTCGGCAACAGCATTAAAATCGGATATAAATCCATCATCACCAACAGCATTCAATACTCTCTCAAACGCATACGCAACAGCAATTGAGAATGCTTCACCTCAACTACCACGACCGACAAGTTTTGAAACTAAACCTTCCTTGAGAATCAGACCTATGCCTTCACGACTTCAAACGACACGACTTCAAACGAACATAAGTGCAGAAGATGGATATATACATCCTTCGGAGCGTACTGCAACTCCTGGACCGTTTGCAATATCGTATCCTGATACACCAAGTTCAGCACAACCCAAAGATACCCCGACTTTTACATTTACCCCTCCACATTCGGCTGGAATCGGAACCTCTGATAGAATGATGTTCACCTTTTCGTCGCAATTTTCGAATAGTGCATCGCCGCGAAGTATGAGACGACTTACACCATATACTCATCCTAAATCTCTCCATAGTATTCTTCGGAACTCACCACTTCCTCCTCCTAGCTCTGTAGCAGCTGCAACACCAAATACAGCAAGTCAATTAGCAATGGGATTCGCAAATAAATGCTCGAAGAAGGTGGAATATGATGATCCTCTGACTCAAACGATCACAACCAATAAATACATCAAATCTCACATCGACCTCCTCTCCGAAGACTCACCTCACTCCGCAACCGATCCAGAGATTGCCGTCTTAGACACTCTCGAC